TTTCTTTCCATTTTTATCATACTTCTTTATACTTTTATTGCTCTTTATCCATTGCACACTGTTTTACATAGACTTTCTTGCTACTCATTAAATAGTTTATAGTCGCAGAAGGTAAAAAAAAACATTAAATATTTTATATGCAAAATAAAAGAAACAAGAGTCGTGTCTATATTATTCTATAAAAATTCTTTCAGTATCGACAATATAGTTTGATTTACGAAATATATTCTGGGAACATAGTGGTTCAAACGAGCCATAAACGTAGAAATTGTAGCAATCCACTTCGATGCAATATTGCACGGCCCCTATAAATATGTAGACTGTCAAGAACAATTTGTTTCCACCAATAAAAAAAAGGGAAAAGCATTTCCCTTGATGGAAGAAACATGTTCCTACTTCTACTCGACTTCGAATTTGTTATAAAATGCGCTGTAAGTCAGCAATTTCGCAACTTTCGACACGTTTATAATTATCGACACTGTAGAAACCAAGCCAATAAAGTTGATTAAAATCATTTTAAGTGAACAAAATTAAAGGAAATTAAATTATGTTTCGTAATATAGTATTATGCAATTATAAAACTATATAATTGCGTTGGATGCCCCTAATTATTAATATCACGTGGATTAATATAAATAAGTGAGTCTAGACTCTACACTAGTTAAAAAGTAGAGTAGGTGCGAGTTAGGAAATTGCATTAAAAGCTAATTAGATAGGGAAAGAATTTCATTTCCTAAGAAGGAATTTGCTGTGGTAAAGAAACTCGACCTATTAGCTTAAGGTTAAGAAGAAAAAAAATAATAATCTTTTACAAGTTCTGCAAAACTTCTTACATCACGTTTATCTATTGAATGTACTTTAAATTTAGTTAGTGAGTTAGAGAAAAGTTACTTGATGGAAAATTAAAAATTTAAAGCATTTATTTATGTAGAGATATAAGTTATGTTCCACTTTCTACACTCTATGTATTTACTGTTCTCCATCCTTTCCAAGCTACACACTCACCCTCATTCCCTTTCCTAACACTTCAACCTTCCGTGATTTCTTTTTTTTAAATAATACTACACATTTATTACTTTCTATATTCGCATTATTATACTTATTTACTATTTATTATCCCCATTTATATAGAAACGTTGATATTTTAAAAGTATAGTGATACAATATTAAGTTTTCTATCTCAATAATAACATAGTTAAGATTAAGTTGTAACGTAGCAAATTCAGCGATTTAACTTTTATGTATTTTATAAATAATTTAAAGCGTGAGATTGATAAATTATTCTTAACAGTAAAGATTTCATCACGTAAGAACATATGGTATTCAGGAATAGTTGAAACCGGAACTGAAGTATATCCGAAACTTAGGAAATCGAGTCAAGTGGTAACCATATTTATACACTTTACATTATTTTCTTTGAAGTTAGACTATATCCAGATCATTTATTATTCAATTATTTACTATTTTACATAATTTTAAATAGCTTTATAGTCGAGAATTCTCAATTAGTTCATGCAGAAGTAATTTACATGTATATAGTACAAGAGATGATTTCGTTGCAACTAATCGTTTTAAACTTTGCATTGTTAATAATAAAATTAAAAAAAAATTAAGAAAATGGAAACAAATTGGGATATACAATTAGAGCACTCAGCATGAAAACTAATAGTTTCAAGGATGGTTGCTTCAATAATATCGTGCGAGATAAAAGAATCTAATTTTAAAGCTTAATAGAGGTTTACAAAGTGAGATAAAAGGATTTAAATAAAGGAATTTTCGAGTAGGAGTACACGAAAAATGTAAAAAAAATTCATCAAATAACATTGAAAATTCACGTTATCTTTTATTTATAACACGCAACTCGTTTGTTCTAATGAGGTAAAATGCATTTGTTATCAAGTAAATTATGGGATTTTAATTTAATTTAAGGGGATGAAGAGAATACTCGTCTCTCGAGACTTCGATTGGTGAAGTCGTGTTTTGTTCTGAATACTTAATTCTCGAGTTTAGTTTGTCTTTGTAGATCGCAATAAGCATACTAAGTATGTAATTACGTACTAAGTTAATATGTTTCTATACTCGAAGAAAAACAGTAATGAAATATTACTTTTGTCATCGTACAAATATTTACTTTAATTACAGCTCTTATAAGATGTTATGTTTAGTTTTGGGAGTGTTCTAAATCTATCCCCATATATATTAAAGTCTAAAGAGAAAAGATCCTCTTGGCATATTCCATCAATAATTATTAATAGAATATCGATAGTAATTGATGAATATTACGAGCGCCAAGACTATTAATAGGTTATTTTCGTGATAGGTTATGTAAAACACTATATAAAAATACTCAAAATAATTAATAAAATACAGTTTTAGAAGCGTAATTATAAACATATTTATAAGCAAATTACATAGTAAAGTCGTTAAACAAGTAAAAAGTCTTAAGAAACTTCTACACGTGTGACTAAAGTTTTATATATGAAACAATATAAGAAATTTCAGCGTGTCTTTTTTCTTATAAACTTGAATAATTGATGGTTTTTAATGGTGGCATTTGATTCGAACTTGCAAAATATGCATTAAAGCAGAATATATTGGGTTTAATTTAAGCGTGTCGATGCATCAGCAGGTGTAAGGACACATCACGAAACCACCTGCATCTACCGTGACTAGTCCAAGGGCGCCACCTTGCGCTCGTACATAAAGACGGAATGTATGACGTCATTACCCCGGTTTAACGTCGGTCACGGAATTGTTTGTTTGTGCCATAGAATGTATGAATAATAACTATAAGTGGCTCTCTTTTCTTCTTCTTTTTCCTCCCATGATAAGCGTAAAGTTTCAATTTACGATCTTAACAGTAATTTGTCCAACGTCTGTTAAAAATATACATTTACTAAAATGAAAGAAGCTGTCACTAAAGAAATTAAAGCGTTTTTATAAAGAAAATTAATTAATTTCTTTAGTCATTTCCATGATAAACCGTGTTTAAATTTTAAAAGAATTAACGACGTGAGTACTAAAAAAATATCCGCTTGTTGTCGAAACGATTTAAATTTATTCGAAAAAAAACATTTAAAACTTTTTTAATTTATTTACTTTTATTTAATTTATCGGTCGTGTGGCAGAGAATCTTTTAATAAATTATAAGATTAAGAAAGAGGACTAAGAAAAAAAATGTATATATTTATAATGCAATGAGTCGATTGCACAGACAACCAATTGTGGTGAACTGCATTGTGTTGTTAAACGTTTCGACGTAGGCGATAGAAGAGAATAATATTTTGACGTTGGAACATTTAATTGAACCACAAACTGGCAGCAGCTGTAAGGAATCGATTTTTTGAACCGAAAACGTAGATTGGAAAACGTGCTTTGCTACCCTTAAGAGTTCTTAACAATTTTATCAGGAAAATTTTGTAAAAATAATTCTTACATTTAATAATAATTTAAAGAAATATAATAATAAAAACATGCTCTTATACACTTTTGTTATGATGTCATGTGCTGGGTGGTGATGTCACACGTTTCCAATATTGACGTGAGATGCAATAATTTTACTTGTGCTACACATTACTATGTTGAACAGTCTGTTGTGCAAATCCTGTTACTGAAGCCCAGACGTTGACTCATTTTTTTTTTTTTTTTCTGAAGATATACTTGTGTTTTAGTATATGAATCACGCCATATTTCTCTTCAAATCTTTGATCTGTGGCTAATAAAATGCATGCAAATTAATGCAAATTTTTTCTCCTGAATTACAAATATTTAAACAATATCATCTAGCTTTATAAAATGGAATTTTTTAAGTTCTTGTTAGTACTGTTGCTGTTAACTACAATCTTAGATGACTTTAAAATTGTTTTAACAACTTTAATTTATTATAAATGTTTTAAAAAATATTAATTAATTAAGAAATATAATTGTTAAATATTATTGGAGCATAGACTATACACATATTTAAGTAGTAACATCAATAAGTTATGGTTTACTTTAATAAAAATTAAGGATATTTATAATTAAAGATAAGTATTACATAGAATTTATGCATTGCATAATCATAATTAACATTTCTTTGTAGGCTAATTATAAAATTTATAGTACAATGTGTCTATATAATAATGAATGCTACATAAACAATTCTTAGAAAAACTTTTAACTTTGATTAAAATATCTTTCATGCTATTAAACTTTCAGAAATTTTAATAAAATCTGCCTTTTTTTTTTTTTTTAAATGAAAGATGCATCAGTAAATTACATAAATGCATACAAATTTGAAATAATTAATTCAGATCATTAAATGCTATCTACATAAGATTTAAATATTTGCATAAAACTATTTTTTTAGGAAAAAAAATATTAAAATATAAATCAATAATAAAAACATCATTCAAATTTATCATTTCATTAATAAAACTTTCATGTAATTGTTAAATCAATGCTTCATTGCCACTGTTAAATGTATTAATAGTGATATAGGCTTACATATTACATATTAATATATATATAAATCAATCAAATAGTATATGTTATTAAATTCTTGACTTATAATCAAATATTATATGCATAAAATTAAACTAAATTATAAATCTTCAACAAATTTCACAGTTAAAATTATAATTTAAAGTTTAATTAATTTATAATATCATGTTAATTAATGCATAACTTTATTAATGATTTGAATAATATAAAATGTAAAAATATACTTTTAAAATATTATAATTAAGCTATAATTAAAATAAAGAATTTTAGTTTATTAATTTAAAAATAATAATAATAATTAATTTACTTTAATTAAGTATAAAATCACGTTCTAAAATTATTCATCACCACTTGAAAGTAACTAAGTTTGTTTAAGTAAAGAAGAAGAAAAACTTTAAAAAATGGAGCAACAATGCACAATTATTAAATAATATAGATTAATAAAGCGTAAAAAAATAGGAAAAAGAAGAACGGAAATCGGTGGAAAGGAGGAGGAATAAGAAAAATGACAATTGACAAGAAAGTATTTCTGCTGCAGGTAATTTAGGTGAAGCAGATGTTTCTCTCACATCATACGATTACAACGATCCGGACCGTGATTGAAACACGAATAAAAAAAAAAAAAGCGGAGAATAAATGAAGCTCACTCTTACCTTCTCTACCCCAGCCATATAGTAGAAGAGTCTGCCCATGGCAGTGACTCTTAGAGTGCCGCACGTCAGTGCAAAGCGAGTGTAAGTTGGGTATAGGAGCTGACGATCATGTAAATTGCAGTTATGACTTAGTGCGCTTATGTCACGTTAGTTCGTGGCGAAAATTTGGAGGTTATGGCCCGGTTTGTCGTCCACGTGCTCTTATTTGGAACGGTAATTGTTACTGCTAGCGAATTATCGCCCTGTCCGTCTGAATGTGATTGTCAGGGGTTTATTGTAGACTGTAACAACCGAGGATTGAAGTTTGTGCCTCGTTATCTACCAGAAGATGCGAGGAGAATGTAAGTTATTAATTCTTTTAATTAAGTTTATATGTATAATAATTTAAAAATTAACTTTATAAGTTTCTTTTTGATATTAGAATCTTAATCTTTTATTATTTCTTAACGGTCCTGTAACTAGTTTCAAACGTATAACTTCTGTCTGGCATTTATTTTGATTAAAATTTGTGATGCTTCGTTGATAGTTAGACATAATAAGATTGTAAATTGTAATAAAAAAAGTTTAATAAATCTATATTTGGTAAGGAATTTAACTGATTATCTCATAACTCTTCTATATAATGTCACAAAGTTAATGATTGTCACGCAACAATATAATTGTAATTAACTGTATTTTAATATATGAAAATGCATTAAAATTATATATTATAAATTTATAAATATTAAAATATAAAGATAAATATCTGATAACAGCAATAGTTTGAAGTTAGTAACTTTAATGTTTAAGTGCATTCATTTTCTTCTTTATATTTAAAGACTTTGACATTAAATTATTCATTTTTAAAAACTTTATAAGCTATAAATTATATTTAAAATAAATGTTTTAATATTAAAAATTAGCGAAATAAATCTGTTTTAATTCTGTTATTTATTTTACTATTTAAAATTGTAAAGAACAGGATTAAGTAGGTAATTACTAATGACAATTACATTAATGAATTAGACAATTTATGGATTATTATTTGAATATATTTAATATTAAATACATTAAATTCTTTAAAAAAAAATAGTGAAAATATGCAAGAAATTAAAATATTAATTATGAAGTTGGAAGCAATGTGCATATTACTGATTTAAAATAATAAATTGTTAAATTTAATATTAAAATTGCAAGATTTATTGTCATATATAGCTTGCCTGTATGATTTTATGCATTATTCAATTGCTATTAATTGTTAATAAACAAAAGTGGAGAGTGATACAAGGGATCCATTTTTCCACATGTGGCTCCCTAACAGATGGATAGTATCTGGCAGACTAATAGGATTAGGACACAATAAATTACAGATTACGTCAGTAACAACTAACTATGACATATACAAGACGCTTTACAGTCGACTAAATTAAAGTAAAATACACTTTTAAAAACGAAATTTTATTTAGTTAAGCCATTTAGGTAATGATCACGATGAAATTCGAGTAGTTACAGATAATTATGTTGGCACGAAGGGAATAAATTTCTCGAGAATTGTTTAAGAATTTCGCCGTTTAAAATTGTTTTTACGTGCTTGAAATTAATTGAATGCTGTTTAAAAAATGCAATATTTTTTTCAATATTCTTGGATTCAGCTTGGAATTTTTTTTTATAAAGAATAAATTTCGTGTTTTGTATCCTCGAAAAGCTTTTAAAAGTAATCATTGAGCGGAAATCGAGGAAGATAGAAAAGGATTTTGATGAAAGGATCTCGAAGGTCGGAATGTGTATACCCGTTTGTTGCCAAAAAACGAATTTTGAATTGATCCAGGTTGCTTTATAGGCCTTTAAAAAAATCTCGTTGAATCAAAAAAAGGATATTTAAATTGGTTTAAGTTCTCTCCTAAAAGTTTGTAATGGCTACTTCATTGAAAGTTTGATAGTAGTTTAGGAATAGCACAAGATTTCATTAATCCTTTGCAAAAAAAAAAAAGAAAGAAAGAAATGATTTATAGTTAAATTATATCTTTAATTTCATGTTTTTAACATGCAAAATTGTGATTATTTTCATATTTTCCTCTAAAAACACTTTGAATTTACCTCTTCAGAAGATTAAAGTTACCTTAATCTTTTAAAAAATCTTCGTGTTTTAAAGATTAAGGATGCCTTATCCAGCATTTCTAACTATCCATTATCTATCTAAGATTTAAAAAAATTTTGTGTTAAGATGTATAACCCAGTTGAACCCTCACCATAAGTTTCTTTTGTCTCCAATTTAACCTGAAAGCCAACTATCCCAAATGCCCCACCCAAATTCTAACATCTGGGCCCCTTATAATTGCAGAGACTTTCTAACTGATCTTCCTTTCTCTCTTCCAAATTTTAGACACCGTATTAACTCATCTCTACTAGGAAATGAATGTTCACGGTTACATTTTTTTACAGCATTTACCCACTTATATCAAACCGCATCACCCTGTAAAGTCTACTTGACTGCAAAGCAATGCCCTTTCTGGGTTTAAGCCAAGTCTTCATTCAACTTTTTTTTTTAAAAAAAAAGAAAGAAAAATTTACGCCCCATTTCAGCAATTTTTCTATGTTTTGCAGTAAATCGTGCAGATCTCTATATAATAACAACTTTGACTGATGACGAAAGACGTAAATTGAAACGTCACGATTTGACCTAACAATTTTTTGGATGATTTAATTCCCTATAAATAATTTTTTGTCCTATATTTTCTGTCGAAAATATTATCCTGTAAGAATAATTTTTAAAAAATCTTTTCCTTATTCTAAGACAGATATTTTTTTTTCTTGTTTATTTCTATGTTTAAAGGAGAAAATTAAATTTTTGGAAAGTTTTACAACGAAAATTTTTTTTTAGAATTATTAGGAACTATTTGAGAATAGAAAATTTAAAAAATANTATTTTAAAGGAGAAAATTAAATTTTTGGAAAGTTTTACAACGAAAATTTTTTTTTAGAATTATTAGGAACTATTTGAGAATAGAAAATTTAAAAAATATTTAGCGACGTTTTAGTTCAATAAACTAAATTTTTAAGTCGATATTAGAAGAGAAAATTAAATATTTAGAGATTAAAGTAAACACCCTTAACATTTATCGAAAAAGGAACGTTTTAGAACCAAAAACTTAAATTTTCAAGAAACATTTTAAACTTTATATAACAAGAAACACTTTTTCGTTAAATAAACTCTCAACATTTACAAACTCACCATTTGTCAAAAGAAAAAGAAATTTGAATCGAAGATCAAATGTCGTTTATGCAGTTTAAATTCGACATTTAACCTAGTAGAAAACGTGTCCCAAGTCCTGAAATTCGATTGGAAAGAGTCACGAAACATCAAAAAAAATTTTCTCTTTGCCACCCTTTAATATATCTATGTATATTTTTTGACATATTCTTAATTCCGGAGTGTTTTTTTATCGATTTGGTGATGAGCAAACACTTCACACAATATCGATTGTTAGTGTCTGGTAAAGCAATTAAGCTCTGATTGGTCGAAAGATATTTGTTCTTGTGATGTCACAGTATCTAATTGAATTTTTTTGATTAATCGATTATCGACTGATTTTTCGACTTTTTTTTTATTATTAATTATTTTGTTTTTAAATAATATTGCGATTATTAAACAAAGAAAACTTTTATTTTTAATAATTGTTTATAATATTTGATTATTATCTAGGAATATTTTAAGAGAAATATAAACATACTCGAATGTGATTCTATGTTTAAACAGAGTTAACATTGTTGCATGTTGCATCTGATACTGTATAGTGCTCTATTTGAAAACAATTATTGTTAATTATAGTAGATTCATAACAAATTACTCCTTTGAATAATATCTAGGATAATAATAATGCAATTATTGATAAAATACTTTTTTAATGGAACAAAAATCAGGTTATTCGTGTAGAAGAGTTCAACGCACTTAACCATTTTGTTTCTATAAATTTCTATGATTTTTCGTGAAATTAATATAAAAGTACACGAATCTTTTTACATTCTAAACGTGGAATTTTTGAAAAATTGAGAAGAAATTAATCAGTCTTGTTTGAATAACTGAGTTTTTTTAAGCTCCGATGCCGATGATATTATCTATCGTCATCAATTACAGCTTAATTTGTTCATCTAAAAAATCGATATTTATGAATTTTTAATTTGATCCTTCGAAAGAATAATGTTTGAGTTAAAATTTTCGGATTTACAATTACAGAATTAAATATATATTGGTTCTTATGTTAATTTTCTAAGCATTGATGAATTATATAGATTCAGCCTATGCTGATATTGAAGCATAAGTTAACAAATAATTAATGTCAGAACCTATACCGTTACACGACTAACTCAGGATCTATACTGTTAGGTGAGTAATCTGGACGAGAATCTATTAGTAGAATATTCATAATTTAATTTCTTAATTTTTTGGGTTGTTATATTTACTTAATTAAATAAAATTATTATAAAATTTTCCAAATACGTATAAAGTGTATAGAGTTTATAACTGATCCTGCGATCAAGTCTATAATTTTACCTGGTATCCGTATACAGAAGAGATTTTCACTCCACTTCCACTTATTTATCAGAAGATAGGATCGTAACGAAGTAGACTTCTCACGCCCAAACCATAATCAAAATCAATTAGGCGAGCAATAATTACAAGATGCAAGATCAACATTGGAAGCAGAGAAGGCAAACATCATTACTTCTAATGTAATCACCTCATTACATCATTTAACGGTTACATCGCAATTTGATTAATGCCGAAATAATCAAGAAAATTTAAGAGAATATTTTTCAAAATTCTCCTTTTTTTTAGAAATTAGGTCTTTCTCTTTCTACTTTTAGCCAATCCGGATAAAAGACTATACACCTGGGTGTCCGGTCGTGAGGGGTCAAAGTTCATCATTCGTCTTCTGTTCTTGTTTTTTTCTCTATCTCTAATTCGCTTGAAATATTTACTTCTTATGATAAAAAAAAGTCAAGTAATGTTTAATATCTTAAATAAAATTACTCATAACTTTATTCAAAAAATAAAACAAAGACAAAAAGTTCTTGATCATTCTTCATTGATTGCTACACCAAACATGACATTTAAAAATATAAATTTCAAGATTTTAAGGATAAAATTTAATCTAAATCCTATTTTTGTAGATGATTTAAACATTTATTGTTGTAACGTAACCGCTTAGACCTACTTATTACCGTAACTGATTCTAAAAATAGTTTTTCCCATTTTTCTCTTAGCTTTCTGCTTGAACTTTGTCTTAAATTTAAACGCAATCTACCTCATAATATATACATTTTGCTTCAAGCAATAAAGTAATTAGGTGTTAAATGAGTAATTAGGAAAATCCGAATAGTATAAATCTACTTATAATGTTTCAAAGATATCCCGGAGTGATGCTGATGAGATATCAAAGGCATCACTGTTCAAATAAGAATCTTAATTTAAGGTAAGTTATTATGTCAAACCGGAACCAAACGAGAGCAATGGCATTCTCGATACCTAATAAAATCAATGATGTATGAGGGTACGGCTGTATTTCTGCTCGTTGAAACACAACATAACCCTATTTTCCTCTCCAAGTCTGGATATTGGTCCTTGAAACGGTTTGTAAGATATTTTTAATAAAAGCAGGACTTTCCTACCAATGACCTTGTGATAAAATGGCTTAGAGGGAAGCACCTTTGCTACCTACAGCTTTAGAAGATTCGAACTGTCAGCCCCAACAATACTACCCATTGTTAACGTAAATGAGAAAACACGAAATGTCTACAAAACTAATATTACTTTTGTACAGAATGATTTACGTTGCTATGGGTACAGGACATTACAGACTTGGCGACGGTCGGACGTAATTGAGCGGATTGTCATTTATCGTCTACTGTCCCATTATTGGGTACCACCCCCGTACACAGTTTCGCATTACTTCAGATTAAAATGGGAGTTATCTATATATATATATATATTTTTTTCTTTCCTAGAATCTCTATTAGAATATGAAGAAGTGGTTTACAGTTCTAGACTTAGCATAATTCTATATCTACAAGATTTGTTTAATAAAGTATGACTCAGTGGGTGTGCCAGCTATTGAACCGGTTAAAGCACGACGTCGTCTTCATAATCCTTTGAAATATTGATCAAAACCGATGCTTAATTTCTGAAAACCATTTAACGTCCACTCTCAAAATGCTGTAGATTATGTTTAACGTGAATTACTACACCTAAAACTTGTCTTTACTCTTGCAGGAATGAAGATTATTATGTTTAGTATCTGCTCCAACAATGAATAAAATCTGTTATGATCGAAACACTATTCCTAACCACAATCTCACTCTAATAGAAATGAAGATTATTGTGGTGGTTTTGATAATTACTTACTACAACAAACCGCAATTGTTATTGTTCTACTCTCGATCAATGGCTAAAACTATGGTATTTCCAAACTCCAATTATAATGCTCAATTAGGCGTGAAATTGTTGCAGTTAAAAAACTTTACTCAAAAACTTCTCTTTAACTGAAAGTTATTACGGAACTGCTCTGCAGAAATAAAAGTTGCATGATTAAGAATGGTTTTAACTATTAGATTCACTATATTTATAAGTTAACACAGATCATATCTTATGAAATTCGTATGCTCACTACTTAACTGCAGATAATATCACTTTTTATGGAAAACCCGTAGATTATTTATTGTATAATACTTAAAATAATAAATATTTGTTATATTTTGGCTCCAGTATCAAAACTGAATAAATTTCAAAAGAAAACAAGGTAAGGCTCGTTACAAATCTTAAGGTCTTACCAGAGGCGTAACTAGGTGGAAGCAGATGAATACAATAGAGCTAACCCTTTAACCCCTTAGTCCCTATCTTGAATAATAACTTTCAAAATTATTCAAATAAAAAATTTAAATTATCAAATTAGTCGTTTCCGCAATTTGATATATTTTAAACTATTTATATTTTTCCTTAAGCGATCTTCCATTATAAAAAATGATTAATGTTATCAGATAGTCGAACTTCAAAGTTAACCAACAATTTAAATGTAATATACGACTTCATTAACTTAATATCCGAACATAAGAACACGTTTACTATTTAGAAACGATAAGAAGCAATTGTGTAATATGTTTTTGACATTAGTCATTGTACTAGAGGCGATAGATGATTGCTTCGGTGGACATTGCAACTTGATCTATCAGAAAACATCTCGTGCCACAACTCAATAATGATACAAAAACTACAAAAACAAGATTTTATTTTGGATACAAAATTTACTTATTAAATAATAATAATAATAATACACTTTGTTAACTTCAAAAACTAAACGAGAAAAATGGTCTTTTGTTCTAAGAATTGAATTTTTTTTCTTTATTTATTTTTATTCAACTTGAAATAGCTTCGGGCAGATTTTTATCTATCGAGGAAGAACTCGGTTTATTGTACAAGTTTTTATTAGTACTGTAATACAATTTGATGAAAACCAAATATTTACTTTTGTTAATAACTTTCCCTAGTATCCAATTATTAGAATTAATGTACATGTGAATGTATTTACGTAATAATTTTTTTTCTATTTTATTTAAAATAAAATGTAATATTTTAAAAATATTTTTATAAAAACATTTTTACGTTCTATTTTCAGAAATTTGGAAGGAAACAACATAACAGTTATAAAAGAAAATGACTTTCAGGGATTGAAACACTTACAAATATTGTAAGTAGAACGTGTTTTCTTTATCTTCTGATGCTTTTTTTTTAATGGTATAACCCTCTAAACTATTTATTCCAATGCACAAAAGTGGGTTGAGTTCATCTTCCACCAGAAAAAAAAATATCAGGGTTGTTCCGCTAAGCATCCGTAGCACGTATCTCCATTACAATAGCAGTAAATTGGAAGCAGTGACAGGTGTGTGCCATGACAGAGTTGGGCGCCGTAGGGTACCAAACACTGTATACCTGTTCCCAGCAGGTGATCTGGTCTCGGAATGAGTGTTGAAGTCTTTATCAAAAGCTAGAGTCAAATAGCATAAAGGCATGAGTGATTTTGGCATCTGATTTGTCAGCGGGTTATTTCAATCTTTGTGCAATCTTCTCTTAGTACGAAAAATTTGAAGCACCTCATACATTTGCATCGTGCATCAGTCCATCAGTCCATCAGAGACTCACAATCGGGATTCACTATCGAAATACTTATTGAAATGGAAATAGAAAGTAAATATTAGTTTCTTTCTATGAATTTAATCCGTTTTTATATAAATTTTACGCATCTTTCGATTATATCTTCAGAAAAATTGATAATTTTCCTGCAGATGTTAATACTCTATGCTTCAGAAGAAATATATCTGTAATCGGCTCGTTGTAAATGATGTGCAGTACATGATAAAAATTTCAGTAGGAATTCTACCGTAATCAAAATTTCATTAAAATTTTTCACTTTATTTACTACTTAAGAGGCTTTTCTCATAAAGAAACGTCTTCCGTACGCATTCTGAATTTCGGATTAAATGAACTCTATTGATAGGAGCATAAGGTCGTAACTCTTCATAGAAAGGCAGTAATCATTCAAAAGTCTAATAAGAAGGGCTCACAGGGGTATAATTAGATTAGGAATCGGCTTATTGGGAAGACAATGTTCGTTTTGTAGAAGAGCAATAGTGGTGATGTACTGAATTATGCAAGATATTGAACCGCTACAGGGAGAACATTCGGGCTAATTCTCTACAAATAAATAATAAATTCTACCCTTTATTTATACATTAATTCTATTGCAATATTTATTCTCGGCTTGCATAAAAAAGGATGCAGTTTGACTCCATACAAATTTGATAAAAGAAGTGCTGCACGAAGTTTTGAAATATATATAAAGGCTGAATTGATGGAGAAATTTATGTTCTTTCTGTCAAAAAAGCAAATTTTTTAAAAATGAAAAATCTCTTGAAAATGAATGAAGAAGAATGACGATACTTAAGCTTTAAACATATTTTTTATATTCAGAAAAAAAANATAATAATTAATTTACTTTAATTAAGTATAAAGTCACGTTCTAAAATTATTCATCACCACTTGAAAGTAACTAAGTTTGTTTAAGTAAAGAAGAAGAAAAACTTTAAAAAATGGAGCAACAATGCACAATTATTAAATAATATAGATTAATAAAGCGTAAAAAAATAGGAAAAAGAAGAACGGAAATCGGTGGAAAGGAGGAGGAATAAGAAAAATGACAATTGACAAGAAAGTATTTCTGCTGCAGGTAATTTAGGTGAAGCAGATGTTTCTCTCACATCATACGATTACAACGATCCGGACCGTGATTGAAACACGAATAAAAAAAAAAAAAGCGGAGAATAAATGAAGCTCACTCTTACCTTCTCTACCCCAGCCATATAGTAGAAGAGTCTGCCCATGGCAGTGACTCTTAGAGTGCCGCACGTCAGTGCAAAGCGAGTGTAAGTTGGGTATAGGAGCTGACGATCATGTAAATTGCAGTTATGACTTAGTGCGCTTATGTCACGTTAGTTCGTGGCGAAAATTTGGAGGTTATGGCCCGGTTTGTCGTCCACGTGCTCTTATTTGGAACGGTAATTGTTACTGCTAGCGAATTATCGCCCTGTCCGTCTGAATGTGATTGTCAGGGGTTTATTGTAGACTGTAACAACCGAGGATTGAAGTTTGTGCCTCGTTATCTACCAGAAGATGCGAGGAGAATGTAAGTTATTAATTCTTTTAATTAAGTTTATATGTATAATAATTTAAAAATTAACTTTATAAGTTTCTTTTTGATATTAGAATCTTAATCTTTTATTATTTCTTAACGGTCCTGTAACTAGTTTCAAACGTATAACTTCTGTCTGGCATTTATTTTGATTAAAATTTGTGATGCTTCGTTGATAGTTAGACATAATAAGATTGTAAATTGTAATAAAAAAAGTTTAATAAATCTATATTTGGTAAGGAATTTAACTGATTATCTCATAACTCTTCTATATAATGTCACAAAGTTAATGATTGTCACGCAACAATATAATTGTAATTAACTGTATTTTAATATATGAAAATGCATTAAAATTATATATTATAAATTTATAAATATTAAAATATAAAGATAAATATCTGATAACAGCAATAGTTTGAAGTTAGTAACTTTAATGTTTAAGTGCATTCATTTTCTTCTTTATATTTAAAGACTTTGACATTAAATTATTCATTTTTAAAAACTTTATAAGCTATAAATTATATTTAAAATAAATGTTTTAATATTAAAAATTAGCGAAATAAATCTGTTTTAATTCTGTTATTTATTTTACTATTTAAAATTGTAAAGAACAGGATTAAGTAGGTAATTACTAATGACAATTACATTAATGAATTAGACAATTTATGGATTATTATTTGAATATATTTAATATTAAATACATTAAATTCTTTAAAAAAAAATAGTGAAAATATGCAAGAAATTAAAATATTAATTATGAAGTTGGAAGCAATGTGCATATTACTGATTTAAAATAATAAATTGTTAAATTTAATATTAAAATTGCAAGATTTATTGTCATATATAGCTTGCCTGTATGATTTTATGCATTATTCAATTGCTATTAATTGTTAATAAACAAAAGTGGAGAGTGATACAAGGGATCCATTTTTCCACATGTGGCTCCCTAACAGATGGATAGTATCTGGCAGACTAATAGGATTAGGACACAATAAATTACAGATTACGTCAGTAACAACTAACTATGACATATACAAGACGCTTTACAGTCGACTAAATTAAAGTAAAATACACTTTTAAAAACGAAATTTTATTTAGTTAAGCCATTTAGGTAATGATCACGATGAAATTCGAGTAGTTACAGATAATTATGTTGGCACGAAGGGAATAAATTTCTCGAGAATTGTTTAAGAATTTCGCCGTTTAAAATTGTTTTTACGTGCTTGAAATTAATTGAATGCTGTTTAAAAAATGCAATATTTTTTTCAATATTCTTGGATTCAGCTTGGAATTTTTTTTTATAAAGAATAAATTTCGTGTTTTGTATCCTCGAAAAGCTTTTAAAAGTAATCATTGAGCGGAAATCGAGGAAGATAGAAAAGGATTTTGATGAAAGGATCTCGAAGGTCGGAATGTGTATACCCGTTTGTTGCCAAAAAACGAATTTTGAATTGATCCAGGTTGCTTTATAGGCCTTTAAAAAAATCTCGTTGAATCAAAAAAAGGATATTTAAATTGGTTTAAGTTCTCTCCTAAAAGTTTGTAATGGCTACTTCATTGAAAGTTTGATAGTAGTTTAGGAATAGCACAAGATTTCATTAATCCTTTGCAAAAAAAAAAAAGAAAGAAAGAAATGATTTATAGTTAAATTATATCTTTAATTTCATGTTTTTAACATTCAAAATTGTGATTATTTTCATATTTTCCTCTAAAAACACTTTGAATTTACCTCTTCAGAAGATTAAAGTTACCTTAATCTTTTAAAAAATCTTCGTGTTTTAAAGATTAAGGATGCCTTATCCAGCATTTATAACTATCCATTATCTATCTAAGATTTAAAAAAATTTTGTGTTAAGATGTATAACCCAGTTGAACCCTCATCATAAGTTTCTTTTGTCTCCAATTTAACCTGAAAGCCAACTATCCCAAATGCCCCACCCAAATTCTAACATCTGGGCCCCTTATAATTGCAGAGACTTTCTAACTGATCTTCCTTTCTCTCTTCCAAATTTTAGACACCGTATTAACTCATCTCTACTAGGAAATGAATGTTCACGGTTACATTTTTTTACAGCATTTACCCACTTATATCAAACCGCATCACCCTGTAAAGTCTACTTGACTGCAAAGCAATGCCCTTTCTGGGTTTAAGCCAAGTCTTCATTCAACTTTTTTTTTTAAAAAAAAAGAAAGAAAAATTTACGCCCCATTTCAGCAATTTTTCTATGTTTTGCAGTAAATCGTGCAGATCTCTATATAATAACAACTTTGACTGATGACGAAAGACGTAAATTGAAACGTCACGATTTGACCTAACAATTTTTTGGATGATTTAATTCCCTATAAATAATTTTTTGTCCTATATTTTCTGTCGAAAATATTATCCTGTAAGAATAATTTTTAAAAAATCTTTTCCTTATTCTAAGACAGATATTTTTTTTTCTTGTTTATTTCTATGTTTAAAGGAGAAAATTTATTATCGTAACGAGATTCTCTGTCCCTATTCTGTTCTTACTTTTCAATAAGTTATTATTGTTCAATGTAAAGAGTTGTGTTACGAGAAATAAATTTAACGTATAGGAAAACATTATTATTATTATAAATGCAGGTTTTTATATTTTATTTTCCTTTCCAGGACTATTAAAAACTGTCAGCAAAACTGCTTATGCATACTATCGAAAGTCTACAAAAAACTAAGAAATTTTATAGATTCTTTTAAGGAAATTAAAAATTTTTAAAGAAATTTTTGGAATATCAATACATTTTTAGATGGTTTTTTTTAAGATTTTAAAGAAACTTAGAACCGCTTTAAACGTTAAATTAAGAAATTTTTTAGAGTTATTTTAAAGGAGAAAATTAAATTTTTGGAAAGTTTTACAACGAAAATTTTTTTTTAGAATTATTAGGAACTATTTGAGAATAGAAAATTTAAAAAATATTTAGCGACGTTTTAGTTCAATAAACTAAATTTTTAAGTCGATATTAGAAGAGAAAATTAAATATTTAGAGATTAAAGTAAACACCCTTAACATTTATCGAAAAAGGAACGTTTTAGAACCAAAAACTTAAATTTTCAAGAAACATTTTAAACTTTATATAACAAGAAACACTTTTTCGTTAAATAAACTCTCAACATTTACAAACTCACCATTTGTCAAAAGAAAAAGAAATTTGAATCGAAGATCAAATGTCGTTTATGCAGTTTAAATTCGACATTTAACCTAGTAGAAAACGTGTCCCAAGTCCTGAAATTCGATTGGAAAGAGTCACGAAACATCAAAAAAAATTTTCTCTTTGCCACCCTTTAATATATCTATGTATATTTTTTGACATATTCTTAATTCCGGAGTGTTTTTTTATCGATTTGGTGATGAGCAAACACTTCACACAATATCGATTGTTAGTGTCTGGTAAAGCAATTAAGCTCTGATTGGTCGAAAGATATTTGTTCTTGTGATGTCACAGTATCTAATTGAATTTTTTTGATTAATCGATTATCGACTGATTTTTCGACTTTTTTTTTATTATTAATTATTTTGTTTTTAAATAATATTGCGATTATTAAACAAAGAAAACTTTTATTTTTAATAATTGTTTATAATATTTGATTATTATCTAGGAATATTTTAAGAGAAATATAAACATACTCGAATGTGATTCTATGTTTAAACAGAGTTAACATTGTTGCATGTTGCATCTGATACTGTATAGTGCTCTATTTGAAAACAATTATTGTTAATTATAGTAGATTCATAACAAATTACTCCTTTGAATAATATCTAGGATAATAATAATGCAATTATTGATAAAATACTTTTTTAATGGAACAAAAATCAGGTTATTCGTGTAGAAGAGTTCAACGCACTTAACCATTTTGTTTCTATAAATTTCTATGATTTTTCGTGAAATTAATATAAAAGTACACGAATCTTTTTACATTCTAAACGTGGAATTTTTGAAAAATTGAGAAGAAATTAATCAGTCTTGTTTGAATAACTGAGTTTTTTTAAGCTCCGATGCCGATGATATTATCTATCGTCATCAATTACAGCTTAATTTGTTCATCTAAAAAATCGATATTTATGAATTTTTAATTTGATCCTTCGAAAGAATAATGTTTGAGTTAAAATTTTCGGATTTACAATTACAGAATTAAATATATATTGGTTCTTATGTTAATTTTCTAAGCATTGATGAATTATATAGATTCAGCCTATGCTGATATTGAAGCATAAGTTAACAAATAATTAATGTCAGAACCTATACCGTTACACGACTAACTCAGGATCTATACTGTTAGGTGAGTAATCTGGACGAGAATCTATTAGTAGAATATTCATAATTTAATTTCTTAATTTTTTGGGTTGTTATATTTACTTAATTAAATAAAATTATTATAAAATTTTCCAAATACGTATAAAGTGTATAGAGTTTATAACTGATCCTGCGATCAAGTCTATAATTTTACCTGGTATCCGTATACAGAAGAGATTTTCACTCCACTTCCACTTATTTATCAGAAGATAGGATCGTAACGAAGTAGACTTCTCACGCCCAAACCATAATCAAAATCAATTAGGCGAGCAATAATTACAAGATGCAAGATCAACATTGGAAGCAGAGAAGGCAAACATCATTACTTCTAATGTAATCACCTCATTACATCATTTAACGGTTACATCGCAATTTGATTAATGCCGAAATAATCAAGAAAATTTAAGAGAATATTTTTCAAAATTCTCCTTTTTTTTAGAAATTAGGTCTTTCTCTTTCTACTTTTAGCCAATCCGGATAAAAGACTATACACCTGGGTGTCCGGTCGTGAGGGGTCAAAGTTCATCATTCGTCTTCTGTTCTTGTTTTTTTCTCTATCTCTAATTCGCTTGAAATATTTACTTCTTATGATAAAAAAAAAAGTCAAGTAATGTTTAATATCTTAAATAAAATTACTCATAACTTTATTCAAAAAATAAAACAAAGACAAAAAGTTCTTGATCATTCTTCATTGATTGCTACACCAAACATGACATTTTAAAAATATAAATTTCAAGATTTTAAGGATAAAATTTAATCTAAATCCTATTTTTGTAGATGATTTAAACATTTATTGTTGTAACGTAACCGCTTAGACCTACTTATTACCGTAACTGATTCTAAAAATAGTTTTTCCCATTTTTCTCTTAGCTTTCTGCTTGAACTTTGTCTTAAATTTAAACGCAATCTACCTCATAATATATACATTTTGCTTCAAGCAATAAAGTAATTAGGTGTTAAATGAGTAATTAGGAAAATCCGAATAGTATAAATCTACTTATAATGTTTCAAAGATATCCCGGAGTGATGCTGATGAGATATCAAAGGCATCACTGTTCAAATAAGAATCTTAATTTAAGGTAAGTTATTATGTCAAACCGGAACCAAACGAGAGCAATGGCATTCTCGATACCTAATAAAATCAATGATGTATGAGGGTACGGCTGTATTTCTGCTCGTTGAAACACAACATAACCCTATTTTCCTCTCCAAGTCTGGATATTGGTCCTTGAAACGGTTTGTAAGATATTTTTAATAAAAGCAGGACTTTCCTACCAATGACCTTGTGATAAAATGGCTTAGAGGGAAGCACCTTTGCTACCTACAGCTTTAGAAGATTCGAACTGTCAGCCCCAACAATACTACCCATTGTTAACGTAAATGAGAAAACACGAAATGTCTACAAAACTAATATTACTTTTGTACAGAATGATTTACGTTGCTATGGGTACAGGACATTACAGACTTGGCGACGGTCGGACGTAATTGAGCGGATTGTCATTTATCGTCTACTGTCCCATTATTGGGTACCACCCCCGTACACAGTTTCGCATTACTTCAGATTAAAATGGGAGTTATCTATATATATATATATATTTTTTTCTTTCCTAGAATCTCTATTAGAATATGAAGAAGTGGTTTACAGTTCTAGACTTAGCATAATTCTATATCTACAAGATTTGTTTAATAAAGTATGACTCAGTGGGTGTGCCAGCTATTGAACCGGTTAAAGCACGACGTCGTCTTCATAATCCTTTGAAATATTGATCAAAACCGATGCTTAATTTCTGAAAACCATTTAACGTCCACTCTCAAAATGCTGTAGATTATGTTTAACGTGAATTACTACACCTAAAACTTGTCTTTACTCTTGCAGGAATGAAGATTATTATGTTTAGTATCTGCTCCAACAATGAATAAAATCTGTTATGATCGAAACACTATTCCTAACCACAATCTCACTCTAATAGAAATGAAGATTATTGTGGTGGTTTTGATAATTACTTACTACAACAAACCGCAATTGTTATTGTTCTACTCTCGATCAATGGCTAAAACTATGGTATTTCCAAACTCCAATTATAATGCTCAATTAGGCGTGAAATTGTTGCAGTTAAAAAACTTTACTCAAAAACTTCTCTTTAACTGAAAGTTATTACGGAACTGCTCTGCAGAAATAAAAGTTGCATGATTAAGAATGGTTTTAACTATTAGATTCACTATATTTATAAGTTAACACAGATCATATCTTATGAAATTCGTATGCTCACTACTTAACTGCAGATAATATCACTTTTTATGGAAAACCCGTAGATTATTTATTGTATAATACTTAAAATAATAAATATTTGTTATATTTTGGCTCCAGTATCAAAACTGAATAAATTTCTAAAGAAAACAAGGTAAGGCTCGTTACAAATCTTAAGGTCTTACCAGAGGCGTAACTAGGTGGAAGCAGATGAATACAATAGAGCTAACCCTTTAACCCCTTAGTCCCTATCTTGAATAATAACTTTCAAAATTATTCAAATAAAAAATTTAAATTATCAAATTAGTCGTTTCCGCAATTTGATATATTTTAAACTATTTATATTTTTCCTTAAGCGATCTTCCATTATAAAAAATGATTAATGTTATCAGATAGTCGAACTTCAAAGTTAACCAACGATTTAAATGTAATATACGACTTCATTAACTTAATATCCGAACATAAGAACACGTTTACTATTTAGAAACGATAAGAAGCAATTGTGTAATATGTTTTTGACATTAGTCATTGTACTAGAGGCGATAGATGATTGCTTCGGTGGACATTGCAACTTGATCTATCAGAAAACATCTCGTGCCACAACTCAATAATGATACAAAAACTACAAAAACAAGATTTTATTTTGGATACAAAATTTACTTATTAAATAATAATAATAATAATACACTTTGCTAACTTCAAAAACTAAACGAGAAAAATGGTCTTTTGTTCTAAGAATTGAATTTTTTTTCTTTATTTATTTTTATTCAACTTGAAATAGCTTCGGGCAGATTTTTATCTATCGAGGAAGAACTCGGTTTATTGTACAAGTTTTTATTAGTACTGTAATACAATTTGATGAAAACCAAATATTTACTTTTGTTAATAACTTTCCCTAGTATCCAATTATTAGAATTAATGTACATGTGAATGTATTTACGTAATAATTTTTTTTCTATTTTATTTAAAATAAAATGTAATATTTTAAAAATATTTTTATAAAAACATTTTTACGTTCTATTTTCAGAAATTTGGAAGGAAACAACATAACAGTTATAAAAGAAAATGACTTTCAGGGATTGAAACACTTACAAATATTGTAAGTAGAACGTGTTTTCTTTATCTTCTGATGCTTTTTTTTTAATGGTATAACCCTCTAAACTATTTATTCCAATGCACAAAAGTGGGTTGAGTTCATCTTCCACCAGAAAAAAAAATATCAGGGTTGTTCCGCTAAGCATCCGTAGCACGTATCTCCATTACAATAGCAGTAAATTGGAAGCAGTGACAGGTGTGTGCCATGACAGAGTTGGGCGCCGTAGGGTACCAAACACTGTATACCTGTTCCCAGCAGGTGATCTGGTCTCGGAATGAGTGTTGAAGTCTTTATCAAAAGCTAGAGTCAAATAGCATAAAGGCATGAGTGATTTTGGCATCTGATTTGTCAGCGGGTTATTTCAATCTTTGTGCAATCTTCTCTTAGTACGAAAAATTTGAAGCACCTCATACATTTGCATCGTGCATCAGTCCATCAGTCCATCAGAGACTCACAATCGGGATTCACTATCGAAATACTTATTGAAATGGAAATAGAAAGTAAATATTAGTTTCTTTCTATGAATTTAATCCGTTTTTATATAAATTTTACGCATCTTTCGATTATATCTTCAGAAAAATTGATAATTTTCCTGCAGATGTTAATACTCTATGCTTCAAAAGAAATATATCTGTAATCGGCTCGTTGTAAATGATGTGCAGTACATGATAAAAATTTCAGTAGGAATTCTACCGTAATCAAAATTTCATTAAAATTTTTCACTTTATTTACTACTTAAGAGGCTTTTCTCATAAAGAAACGTCTTCCGTACGCATTCTGAATTTCGGATTAAATGAACTCTATTGATAGGAGCATAAGGTCGTAACTCTTCATAGAAAGGCAGTAATCATTCAAAAGTCTAATAAGAAGGGCTCACAGGGGTATAATTAGATTAGGAATCGGCTTATTGGGAAGACAATGTTCGTTTTGTAGAAGAGCAATAGTGGTGATGTACTGAATTATGCAAGATATTGAACCGCTACAGGGAGAACATTCGGGCTAATTCTCTACAAATAAATAATAAATTCTACCCTTTATTTATACATTAATTCTATTGCAATATTTATTCTCGGCTTGCATAAAAAAGGATGCAGTTTGACTCCATACAAATTTGATAAAAGAAGTGCTGCACGAAGTTTTGAAATATATATAAAGGCTGAATTGATGGAGAAATTTATGTTCTTTCTGTCAAAAAAGCAAATTTTTTAAAAATGAAAAATCTCTTGAAAATGAATGAAGAAGAATGACGATACTTAAGCTTTAAACGTATTTTTTATATTCAGAAAAAAAAATTAATTTAAATATTAAATTTAATTTTTAAACATCTTATGACTTAACTTTATGTAACTTTTAATAGAATTTTTAATGTTATAAAAAATATATAATATATTTTTATCATCATTTTCTCGAGTAGAATAATTTATTCTCTTAGTCTTTTATTTTTTTTCCTTTTTTTTTTTTCATCCTTCTTCTCCGTTTACAATAGCATCTTTGTACATCTTTTTCTACTAGAATTTTCTTTATTTTAACTGTTCGGTTTCAAAATAATAATTTCTATTTTTATATTCATTTTATTTATTCAATTTCTTTTATGTATTATTCTAAAAAAATTCATATATATATATATATTTTTCTATCTTTCGACACAATGTATTATCTGCTTTTATATACAATACATTATTTCTTATTCACTTACAAAACTTTAAAAATTTTTATTGAATTTTTTTTAATATGATTTAAAGCTTTTTATGAATAAAAGAATTAATTTTAAAATAAAATTCTTTTTTTTCTACATTGCTGTAAGCTTTATCTTATTAACAAATTCTACTAAAGAAACTAATTAATGAGAGCATTTTATATATACATTTTTTTGACTTTTATTTTTAAAAAAAACTTATTTTTTTAAAATAGTTTAATATAAAAATTTAAATTTAAAATTTGGTGAGTGAATCAGAGCAACAGCCTATTTAATATAAAAGCTTTTAAATGTATTAATAATGTTCGTGTTATAATGCTGATTGAACTTTTCCTATTTTAGTTCGGTCACAGTTTAGTTGTTACATTCATTGTTTAATTATTACTAATATTTTGTTAAAATTGTCACGTTATTGGATAAATGTATGACTGTACATAGGAAAAATGCATTAAGTTCTAACGATAATCGATAATTCCACTCGGAGAATACGTGATTTTTATTGTTATCAACAGTTTCCACTCGGTTAGAACTAGAGATCTCATCAGCAATCTCTTGTTTTAAATAGTTGGAAATTGTTATACCAGTTAGATAAATGGTATGAAAGTAGTTTAAAAAATAAAATAAACTCAACAGAATTGTCAAAAAGAAGCCAGGAATTCAATAAGGAATCTTTCGCTTTAAATAACTTGAAAATTATTATATTTATAGTAGTTGAACAATTCGTAATAACTATTCGTTTTAGTAAACTAAAAAAAAACAGAAATTAAATTTCGAAAAAATCAAGCGATTTCATCAGAAATTTTTCATTTTAAGCAGTTGGAAATTGTCATTCTATCTGTCCAACTGTATAACAATTTCATGTGTAAAACAAGAGTTTCTTGAAAGCTCTTAATTATTGTTTATTTTTGGGAAGAATTCTTTTTTTATTTTGGTTTTATTTCTGATGAAAGCGCTAGAATTTTTTATTTCTGTGATTTTTTTTTAAAATGAGACGGATTAATTCTCAAGCGATTTTCTAACTTTCAGCGAAAGAATTACTCCATTTCAACAGGTCAAAAAAGAAAGAAAAAATTCAAAAAATTCTCAAAAAAAAGTCAAGAAAATGCGGATGTAACAAATCTCGCGGCTGAAAACAAACACGAATGAACTAAAGCTGTTTGTTATCTTTATGAAAAACAATCACGTGAACTAACGTGGCTATAACTAATTTCCTACTCGGTAACTTAATTACACCTTTCGGAATTTTTTTCTTTTGTTTTTTTTTATATCGCTGTAGCTCTCTTCCATTTACCAAATTTATATTCCATTGGGCTTTTCTATAAAATTTATTAAGTTTTAAAACATGTTTAAAAATATCAAAAAATACTTGCTTTTTTTTTAAAGATTTATGAAACAAACAATTATTTATTCGTGTCTCGTTTTTTAGGCAATTAATGGATAATCAAATCCACACAATAGAAAGGGTTGCATTTCAAGATCTGATAGCTATGGAAAGACTGTAAGTATCTGAAAATGAAGTTTATGATTGATTATATTTACTACCCTATCTGTTCCGTCAATGTATCTCTTAATGTCAATGATTACAGACCATTGCCGACCAATGATTTATTGACTCATTTTCCAACTTCGACTAGTAAATAACTTTTCATTAACGTTTCTTTAATGATGGATTTGATGGATATTTTTTTCTTTATAAGTAGGTTAAATCTGTGAGAAGTATACCATTAAGATTTCATGAGTTTTCACATAATCAAACGGTAGCTGTAGAGATTTTTATCTCGACTACCGTTTAGTTATAACACTGTTTCTTTGTGGTATAACCCGCCCGATCGTATAAAAATCTTGTGTTAATTTTAGTCGTTTTTTTCCTGTTAGATAATTTGTTAGACATTTTAAACATTAAACAATAGTTGGATTATAGTTTTATCGTAGATTATAATAATCATTCCTTTTAATTAAGTACATTGGAGATGATGTTTAAATCCTTTGGTTAGTTGTTGATGAAGGAATATCCTCGTTGCTTAATTAGTGAAGGGAAATGATCCTTAATCTTATAAATTGCTCTTAGAAAGTTTTAATTGCTTTTAGGAAATGATTCCTGATGGAATTGATTCATTATTCAGTATCAACGGTTTTTCGTGAGAAGGAGGAAATTGAACTTAACTTATTATCTAATGTAATATTTCTGTTGAAAAAATATTAATAATCAACTGCCTTATATTTTTCAGTACTTTTAACTTGTTTAATAAATTACATGTATTTAAAGTTGGATTCCTTTCTCTTGCAAAAATCATTCTCTCCCTTCTTGATATGATGCAATGTCACTTACCCAAAACAAACAAAAAAAAAAAAAAAAATTATACTGCAACTGTTGTTTATCAGAATTAGATAAGTATTTAATATAATTCAATTATGAAATATATAGTTGAACAAACCTCTAAATTGAATTTTTTATCAGTCACATAACTACCAAGAGATAACTGTATGTAAAAATCATCTTACTCTGTTTTAGATCTAAAAGTAAATTTTTATATAAAAAACCCAACATACATTTTTTACACACACCATATATTGAATTTCATTTGAATATGCATTAAGTTTGTTTTCTGTTTTAATCAAATTTATTAAAACATTCATTTTCACTCATTTACTTCAAATTGTTTATTTGATAAAGTTTATATTTTGAGGAATATATTTATAATTATTTCCAATATATCTTNGATTATTAATTTTGTTAATGAAATATTATATTATTAATTTTCTTCTATCACTTGTTGACTGAGTATCGATAGATAAAAATAAATAGATGCTCCTAATCATTAAATTTGTTTTCCTTTTCACAACTTTAATGAATTATATTCTAGTTTTTACGCTTAGCGACTTCCTCTTAAGAGAAATAACTACAGAAACTTATCAAATTTAAACGACATCAGCTGATAAATAACTAGCGATAATCAGACAAGATTATCCTTTCTCAATTGTGAAAACGTATATAAAACTGAAGGCGACAAGATTCATCGTTCATTTCAATAATCCTGCTTCATTATATTTTGTTGCTTCACGAATGCAACCCTTTCTGAAGAAGGTCAACATTGTGATGAATGGTAAAGGTTAGACGAAAGGTTAATCTCAACACTCGCTTGTTTAGTAAGATCCTAGATGTGTTTCATTAGAGGCCAGAGATGTTTATCTGAAACAAATTTCATTTTTGAAAATGGAATGGTTCAAATGAAATTTCTGTCATGATGTAATGTTTAATTAGATGGATTTACAGTGATTAATATTCGTTATAGATGACATGTGTGAATTATCTTTGAATTTATCAGTCCTGTAGTATTTTAAGTCCAGCTTTAATTAGCTATCTTACGAATTCGAATCAATTAAAGTTTCTTTAAAAATGTCTTGTGACATTTTCAGTTTATTCACATACCTATAATTACGTTGTAATGAGTTTTGAGGAAGTTATCTGCTTAATTGACAATTTTCAACTGGGATATATATTTTTCTGTTCGTCTAGAATCAAGAGAAAATATATTTTTCTACTCTAAAAATATTATTAGTTTTCCAGAATATTTTAAATTTACTTGCTGAAATTTCTACTAAAATTGAGTTTTTTTTATATAAAGATGTTGCAGATAATTTATTCTTGAATTAATACCATCTCGACTACATTATGCACCTGTTAGTCTACAGCAGGTTTGCTTTGTCAACAGGTAAAGCTTCAATTAAAATAACCTTGGAATACCAAGTCTAGACAAGGTCGACTTCTAGTAATTTGTCTTCCGGGTTTTATAATAAACATAATTACAGGAAAGTATTGGATAAAACAGTTAATTGATTTATTCTGAAATAACAGTTCTTGATAATATGGCTACAAGTAGTCAAAGACGTGCAGTTAATAACGATGTTTTTACTTAAACTCTGTTTTTTTTTTAATCCACAAATACGTATTAGAAATAAATTCGAACTTCGAAGAAATGATTAGATTTTGTCAAAATTTCCAAATTTAATAACTGTTATGAACTAGTGCAACAACCATAAAGATTCTTCACTAAGGATGAGAACTTTTAATAGTTGCATAACTAGTTCGCAATATTTTTAAGTGTTAAGTCAGTACACGAACTGGAGACAGCTCAGATGACAGTCTGGCTTCGTCTTCCATCAGTCGGTTGTCAAGAGCAAAGTTAAAGAAGTAACCGCCACTCCATCATTAAGGTTAGCACCTAGTTCCAAGGTGGCGAAGTGGCAGGCAACAAGACAACGAAGCAACTCATTTTTCATGTTATCTCTGGAAGTTCTCAATCTTTAGTTGTTGTCTCTCGGCCCCAGTCGGTGGCACATTTGACGATTTACTGTGTTGGCAAATGAACATACTTTATTTGGTCCTTGTCGAGAATGGCTCTTTCTTGGACAGTTCCATCTGTTAGTGAGTTATGGGCACAATTATAGAAGAAAGTGTTTGACATGTCTTAACTGCAGAGTTGAAGTATAAGTTTTTTATTTTTTATTTTTAACTTTCCTTTTTTTATTTATTTGAAACACTAAATACGGTGGAAACAAGAATAAAAAGAAAAAAAACTTCACTACCACGATCATATTTCAGACAAATTATCGCATAAATAAACTGTTTTGAGATAAAATTATCTTGTTTATATTAAGATAATTTAAGTTTTAGACATTTTTTACTCTTTATTTCTTGGTTTCTTTAATAGAATTTGTCTTGAGATAAGGAAATTAAACCTACTTACAGATAGCATTGGAATAAGCTGATAAGCGTAAATAAATGTTAAATTTGAAATATTCACAGTTAGATTCACGTTAAAAATTAGTAAAAGGATTAAAAATTAATGTATTCAAAACTGTTTTATTATACGAATCCAAAAATAGGAGTTTAGTTAGATCGTCTAAATATAGGTTCTCAGAGAGTGAAGAAGCGTAAGATACGAGACAAATATAAACATAAACATGAATAATTTTCATATACAGTACAATAAATTGTTCAAAGGCATAGATTTCAACTGAAATACATTTATTTGATTAGAATAACGCAGCGAGTTGAAGCAGAAATCCGGAAAATACCTTAATTTTTACGTTATTTTTTTCCCTCTTCCCTCGAATCATAATCGATGTTTGAAAGAAAGAAGTACAAACTAGAACCGCTGCCTATTGTTAGAAGCTATGTAACTGTCAACAACATAACCACAACATTAGACAAATGTGCTCTTCTGGAGAATCGATCCAAGAACGCAATCCACGTGTTTAATAATAGACTATTTGTCTTCTAATCCCCCATCCTTCAACTAGATCAATGGTTTGAGGCATTGGGTCAATGTACTTAGATATCTGATTCTATATTTTCAATAATCCCATATATCAGCTTGTATCTTCTTAGAAGCTAGAGCTTTTGTTCAAAATAATAATACAAGAAGAATTTTATATTTTTTTACTTTTTATTTTTTGTGATAGGAGGATAAATAATAATCATCTTCGTACTTTACCTGATATGTTGTTTTCAAGTATGCCAAATCTTCTTCGCTTGTAAGTACTTCGCATCCAATTTTACAATAAAATTAAGCAGATTTCTCTTTTAAAAACTTTTTAAATATCTAATAAAGTTAATTTTAAAAGAAATTATATATATTAAAAATAATAAAATTTAATTTTTTCGTTTTTATTCCAAATTATAAGATTTTAAAACTTTACGAAAAAATATGAAAAAGTCAACTGACTTTTTAAATTAATTTAATTAAACAATCGATTAAACTGTTTTTATTTTCTTTATATCTATATATANATTTAAAAACCTTTTACAGAGATTGACAATTAAGTAAATATTTAAATTACTGAATTATTTTAGTAATAATATTATTTTTTTAATGTGTTTAATGTTATTTAAAGTAAAATAATTTAAGAAAAATATATGTGAACATTCCAAGAGATCGCTGAAGTTTTTTGCTTGTTGATTTTACTTTTATCTCTCCTTTTTTTTTTCATCGACTTTGAACTCGGACACGCTTCTTTCAACGAAAGGAAACAATTTGTAAGAATTACGATGTTGAACTCTACAAAAAAATCATCAAAAATTACTCTTTAAAATATTCTAAAAAAAACAAAAACAAAAAAAACGACTCGATAACGGTGTTGGTGGTCTTTTTTCACTTTAGAAAGTTCTCTCGATTGTTGTTTTCGCTGGAAGAGAATAATAACTGTTTACATAATGACATGTTTCGACTTGAATAACGATCAAAACTTGTATATTCAACAAAGATAATGTTGCAGATGTTCGATTTAATTCTCATTTTATGCTAATTTTAACGGTGCAGGTAAGCTTTAATACGCTGCGCGCCTCTCTGGAGCATCTGTTAATTAAATCGTCATTAAATTCTTTGTAAAAAAAGAAAAAAAAATTATATTTTAGAACATATTTTACACAATTCTACACACAGAATAAACAATGTCTTGGTGGTATTTAGAAAATATATTTATATATATATGTATTTATTGTTGTCATGTTTGAAGCATTTACTTAGTGTCTGTAAGATAAATGTGCAATTTGTCAAAGGTATAATGCTGTTTTAATCCAAAGTAAACGTTGTCAAATATTTTTTAGGTGTGTCTATTTTTTATGTATATTCTTATCTAAAATAATCTTTTGATATATAATGTTTTTCTTTCTTTTGTACAATCTTTTAAATGTAAAATTGTTCAATTTATATTCCTTTATCTTCTATGGCGCCTCTCTAATGTTTAAAAAAATATCGCATTATATTTTTATTTTATAAATTTTTAAATCTATTTAAATCTATAATGTAGAAGGAATTTTTAGATAAATTTTTAATATAATTGAATATGTTTATATTTATTTACATTAAATAATAATATTATTATTCTTTTAAAAATTACACTTTTTTCCCCTTAAAAAGATTATAATCATTTTCTAGATTTTATGTAAATTTTTTAAAAATATTTATAAGTAAATTTTCCTTTTTAAATTTCTAATTTCGCATAATATAAAATAACTTATGTATTTTAATGGAAAAATAAGAGTTTATATTTAAAAAAAAAAAGATATAAAACTCTCTATTTATAAATATTTCAAAAAATATGTGAAGGTTTGTACCTCTATTTTCGAAAAATGCATGAAGACTTATTTCCTGAAAATGTAATTTTGCATGAAATTGGATTACTGAATCATAAAATATAAAGAATTTCTAGCAATATATTTCTTTTCTTTAACCCATCATATGCATCAATTTCGATTTATTGAATGCTTAGAACAGCTTAAAGAAGTTGTAGAATAGATGTTGTAGTGAAGATCATTCTTCATATTTCTTCGAGATTTCTACATTTTTTATGCTCTATACTAGATTATTAATCTCTCGTGTGAACCTATAGGAAGACAGAATTGTTTTTGAATGATTAGACGAGTTTCTTCTTCTGTGTTTGATTTTTGTCATTAATCTCAAACAGTTCAATGGATCCAGCATCTGAATAACAGATTATATTCCTACAAGAACAATAGGATAAAGTAACGTAGAGTTTTTTTTCTAAGGTAAAGGGAAACCATTTTTCCAAAGAAGATAACCTTGTTTCCCTCCTGTCTTAAAGATCCGGCTTAAGGAATAACCAATAGAATTAAATAATACAGAATTATTAGGAAAATTTAGGAGGCCCCTTAACAAGACCCCTTCTCAATGGCCTCACCGTTATCTTGGCAGGTGTGTCGCATTTTCACCTTTGGTGTTATCCTCGTATCTGACCTCATCCAGTAAAGTTTATCATTGACATTTAACCTTATCTCTGAAAGCTTTTGATGTAATTATCCTTTCAATTAATTAACTTAAAAGATTCTCGAAATAAAAGTTAAATTATAAATTAATTCTTGAAACATTTCCTTCTAATTAAAAAAAGAAAAGTTTTTTGACCNTATATTTTAAAAAAAGATATAAAACTCTCTATTTATAAATATTTCAAAAAATATGTGAAGGTTTGTACCTCTATTTTCGAAAAATGCATGAAGACTTATTTCCTGAAAATGTAATTTTACATGAAATTGGATTACTGAATCATAAAATATAAAGAATTTCTAGCAATATATTTCTTTTCTTTAACCCATCATATGCATCAATTTCGATTTATTGAATGCTTAGAACAGCTTAAAGAAGTTGTAGAATAGATGTTGTAGTGAAGATCATTCTTCATATTTCTTCGAGATTTCTACATTTTTTATGCTCTATACTAGATTATTAATTTCTCGTGTGAACCTATAGGAAGACAGAATTGTTTTTGAATGATTAGACGAGTTTCTTCTTCTGTGTTTGATTTTTGTCATTAATCTCAAACAGTTCAATGGATCCAGCATCTGAATAACAGATTATATTCCTACAAGAACAATAGGATAAAGTAACGTAGAGTTTTTTTTCTAAGGTAAAGGGAAACCATTTTTCCAAAGAAGATAACCTTGTTTCCCTCCTGTCTTAAAGATCCGGCTTAAGGAATAACCAATAGAATTAAATAATACAGAATTATTAGGAAAATTTAGGAGGCCCCTTAACAAGACCCCTTCTCAATGGCCTCACCGTTATCTTGGCAGGTGTGTCGCATTTTCACCTTTGGTGTTATCCTCGTATCTGACCTCATCCAGTAAAGTTTATCATTGACATTTAACCTTATCTCTGAAAGCTTTTGATGTAATTATCCTTTCAATTAATTAACTTAAAAGATTCTCGAAATAAAAGTTAAATTATAAATTAATTCTTGAAACATTTCCTTCTAATTAAAAAAAGAAAAGTTTTTTGACCTCTTTTTTTTCATTGAAAAAAATAAAGGTTTGGATCTTTCTCGACACAAGAAAATCCACGTAGTTTAGATTGAGAAATTTCGGAAAGTTCTTTTAGAAAATGGAACCTTTCAGATCAGTGGTGCAATCAGGGTAGGGGTTAAAGGGGCAGTAAAACTTTTACCCCTTATTTGAAGTTTCTGATTGCACCACTGTTTCAGATCTTACAGAGTCCATTTAAAGACTAGAGATGTTTTAGATGTTAAAAAATATATTTGAAGAAGAGGTATACAGGATATACCCGTAGCTATACCCCTGTACATCTACGAGTGCTAACCATCTATTAACACAAAAAAATTATAATTTATTCGAACCTCAAAACGTTGTTTTTAAAAACATTTTTGATGGCAAATATGGCTTATCGGACCATCTGCAATACAATTATTAATTAATAGGTACAGTACTTATTAATTATTCATATATACGGTATTTAATTTTTGAGTTAGTCCCCACTTTGGGTACTTCTGGATCCATCACTGGAGGTATATATATATTAAATTTTAGAGTTTGGAAAACAGGGATATTAGAAAATTTATTTAAAAATTAGTGACTTTTTTGAGAAATTGTTTAAAGATTATAATTTTAAAGTTTTAATTTCATTTATGAACTACCCTCATAGAGGAAGATCGAATACATAAACTTAGTTGTAAGCAATACAACTTTTCTGCATCATAATTCTTGTTTTCCACATTTTTTACGGTTATTTTTTACATTTCATATATATTTCTCTAAAATTTTACCAATTTGCTTTGTGTTTCTACGATTCTTGTAAACATTCGTATTGAAGAATTTTCATGGAGAATGTGGAAGCAAATAGTAAATTACCTTATCCTTACAAAAAGCAACTTCAATACGTGCCGAGTTCAATAGATCCCCTTAAGGAATAAGTTATGCTTCTCAAATTGCATGCATAAGAGATAGGCCCTATTTTTATAACTTGGCACACGAAGTGAAAGCCAAGTTCTAAAAAGCCCAACTTCTCCCTATTACAGTTGATTAATGTCCAGTAAGTGCGATAACGTGCTTTGTCTATAGGGAAACACTAGAGCGATTTTACAGTTTTATTTTCAAAACTAACAAGTATAAAAGCTTCTTTTTACGATCTTTCAGTTATGAAAGCAGATTAGGCTCACATATGACTCTCTTGATAATGGTACCGTTAAAGCCAAAAATAACATTGAAAACAGAGCTGAGCTGTTTTTACTGCAAATTGGGTATCATTAGTTTTAATAAATAAAAGCATCGCCGAGTGAAATCCTGACACTACCATAAATAAATAAACTTAATTAGTTTGCCCTTCATAATAAAAATAAAAAATAAAAATTCGAAAATAAATATCAGTAAATTAGTAAATAGTTTACCAATTTTCTAAAAATAATATATAGGCTATATATTTTTAAGTAGTTATAATAATTGGTATTTTAATAGTTGTGATGGTGCAGAGGGCAACAGGAGGTGCAATACTTTCTAACTTTGTTGAATGATAATTAATTGATAATATTTAACACATTATTTTTTTTAATGATTTTTCAAATTTTCTACAATTTTTTTATAATAATTTATATTTTATTGTTCTATTTTTATTTTTGAAAATATCTTATTGCATATATTCTACCATTTTATTGTGTTATATACATATTATTTTCTAATAACTGTAAATTCTGTCTCGTTTTATCTAATGTTTTGCGTTTTGAGTTGATATTTAAACAATTTTATTAAATATTTTCAGTTTCAGCTGGAAATTTTTAGTTTATTTAGAGACTAAGGAATCTAATTTACTTTTATCGTGAAAAAATTCGACATTTTTTTTAAACTTTTGAAAATTCCTCTTATTTTTTTTTTAGAAAGTTTGAATTTTTAACACGTCGTTTATTAACATATTAAACTGTAAACAATTTTTTCTAGCATAGAATTTATAAATTTTTTTATATCTTCGTTATACGTTATTTAAAATAGGTGTTAGACAAAATTTTAATTTTATTATATTTATTTTATAAATTTCCTCAGCTTTTATATATATATATCTGAACTTTATTCACGTTTTCTTGTTCACTTACCATCTGCTTATTTTGCAGACATTATTCACAGGAAAGGCCTTCCTCTGCTTATGAAAGTGAATAATAGTGTGTCGTTGAGTGGGCTGACATATTTCTCTCATGGTCCACCGATTTCTGACACCTGCCTAATTACACCTAGGGTTCAAAATCGATAGGATGATTCGCTTCATTGAATTCCCTCTCATATTGACTAGAGCCTTTTCTTGTTATTACTTCTTCCGCTTCCTTTCTCTTTAATTGTTCCATAATCGACACAAAATGTGTCCTTTCATGATGTTTATAAATGTATCTTTAAATTCCCTGTTTTGTATGATCTGTGATATGCCTCAGTTTCCATGAAACCTTTTATGTGCACATAATAACTTCACGTTACTCAGCGAATAAATTCGCTAACATCAGCACATAGGAGGAAGGAATAAAAAAAAGAAAAACACATAAAAATTCTATACAGAATTTTGAAATTTTACGATACGTTTCATATTATCGAAATTTTTTCTTGCGTGAAGTAATTTATTTTCTATTTGTATCACGAATACGCTTATAAGAATCTTCATAGTTGTGGACTATCTTCGTTCTCGTTTCGTGTCAGGATTGCTTAAAGTACGAAAGTTTTTGTTATCTGTACTCACGATAAAAAGTACATAACTTACTTCTGTTAGTTGACAAGTGCTCTTAAACACTTCAAACCAATGTCTTGCTGCATCTTTTAGTTCGAAACTTGGTTTGGACAGTTTGCTCGCTCCAGGCTACCACTGCTGCTACTACAAGCCGCTCTGGCCGATAAAGTCGACATTTAGATGATTATTTTGGCTACACTAAACAAACGGGTGTCTGGCCAGAAATGCGATAACACTTTGTCTACTGAAACAAAACGCAGAGATTGAAGTCCTTCACGTTTATCTAAAACAATTGCAAAACTGAAAAATTACATTTCAGTTTTATGTGACTTTTGCGATAAGAGTAAATTAATAATTAAGTTTGTTTTAAATTGTGTTCTTTTAGAAATTTTCACTTTATATTTTATTCTTCTATATTTTTTAAGTATTTTCTATAATTTCCTCGTTTTCTTATTTATTTATCACTTCCCCATTCTTTAATATTTTATGTTTTTGGTATGGTTTTCTCCATTCTTTTTTCTGTTTTCTTTCTCGAATTCTTTTCGTTTTTTTCTTTCTTTTTTAAATTCGTTTTGTTGCTTTCTTCCTGTTTTTATCAGTAACTCTAGAAATCTTTATTGTTTCATGATGTTCAGTGATCGTTTTACAACTCTTCAATTCCTGTTTTATATCTTCATCTCTAGTTATTTTTATTCCATATATAACACGAAATTCTCTATCGAGGAAAATATTTTCGAGTGATTTATTTCGCAAAGAATTTTTTTTCTGGTTTTATAAATTGCCCTCCTCCGCTCTTTCGATAAATATATTTCACTTTAACCATTTTTTATATTAGATAATCTACATAATTTCTCATTTTTCCTACTCAAATTACCATTTGTTACTTGACATTTATGCCGTTTAATCACTAGATTAATAATTTATCTTCCTGTAAAATATTCCATTTATTTTAATTACTTTTTTCTAACTTATTTTTATTATAACTCCTCTTACTTATAATTAACTAAATTAAATATTTCGCGTTATACTCTGAAACAAAGCAGCTGTCTAAGTAGACGATAGTTTGCAATTAATACTCTCGTATTCTTTATATGATGGAAGTTAATGTGGGAAAAAAATGGGAAAAATATTTGATATAACGGGTAAATTTTCAATATAATGCTTACAGATACATATGCTTTTCGTAGAAAGCGGCAAAAATCTAAGAAATCGATTTTGTAAGCAGAGCTTCCAGATTGATTTGACAAGAATAGATTGGATACAAACTTTATCAACAGACATTTCTAGTTTACTTTGAAGGAAGAAAAAGAGAGGAAAAAAAATATAAAAAAAGCGACAGACAAGCGGCAGGTTGTGACTTGGTAGAACCCAGACTAAAAGGAAGAGGGAGAGAGTGAGATTCACAAATAGCTGTCTCATTTTAGTACGATTGAAATTCTTAGTTGTGCTAACAGCTGGAGTTCACGTTTCGTTCAATTTACGCTCTTTATTATGTGATTATTATAAAAAAAAAACACGCACAAAAAATGGGCATGTTTGCTTATTAGAAGCCATCTAAAACTCCGGAAGCAAGAGTCTCTTTTTTTATTTAAAAAAGAATTTCTTAAAAAATTGAAAAACTTAATGAATCTCTAATTATTTTAGTAAAGAGCTATCTTCGAGTAATTGCAACGAGTATAAATGTAATATGAAAAACACTCATTTCAAAGCTTTAAAGTCTAATTTAACACGGATGTAATCAATGCTAATACAATAAATTTTGCCATCTTCTGAAGTCTGCAATGCTAATATATTTTATTCTGAGTTAAGTGACATATATATTATAGATGGAATGCTTTCGAAAGTCTTCGGAATGTCGAGTCAACACTTCGTAATGATTTCATCTCGTCTCTTCACAAGATGGCATCAAATTTCACGTTCCTAAGAATTCTCTTCTCCTCGAATTAGTTTAAATTTGATTTTCTGCATAGAAGTAAAGTAAATTTACGATAAAAAATTAATTTATATAAGTAACTAAATAAAATAAATCCTTTCTCGCCCGTTAATCAACAAAAATTCACATCGTATCTAAAAATTCAATATCTAAAAATGGTCAAAATCCATATTCATACCCTGGAATGGATTTTTGAGAATTTGGATGTTGGTTGTTTTATATATTTCTAAAGTAAAATCTATATTTCAGGACGTGCATATGGACTTTTTAGATCAGCATCCAATTTATATACGTGGATATGGATTTTTTTTTAGATTTACGTAGAAGAAGTTTGGCTTTTTTAAAGGCATCTTTGGATATAACAATCTCTATTGACGTGAAGTAATTGATTGTATTGGATCCTTGCGAGTTAATCTGTTCTGATGAAGATTAAAGAAGGAATAATCAAGTCCCAATTTATTTTTTTATTTTTGCTCAGACTTCTCGATGAAAGACATAACTTCAACTTTTCTAACTAATTAAAGTAACTAGAAACTAAAAATTATAGAATTGGCTAGATGCGGAATATTGCAGTAGAAGTCCTATATAGAATTTCTTTAGGTGTCATCATGATTTATGCTTTGACATTCATCGATTCTCGCATTTCTAAGAAGTAAATTAATTACAGTTCGGCTTAACTTCCGTTGACAGAATGACAACAAACTTTACAGACAAGCACCCTAGGCTTATTTATTCTACGGACATCACGTGTCACTTTTCGAGCTATTTCTGTCCTCTATGTTCAGCTGTCACATCATTACCTCTAGAATTGTCTCGGGCAGTTATAAAGAGATTCTAACAAAATCCCTTAACTCCTTTATCTAAGAAAGGTCACTTTTGAACGATACAAAAAAATATATTTTGGATAAATCTCTAAATTGTACTTTATTTTTATATGGAATTCTTTTGTTTTCAACTTGAAATTTTGATTCTATTTTTTAGATTTTTCATTTTTTTTAGAAATTGTATCGTGTTTTTTTTTTTAGTAATTTCGGTTTTCTTACACATTCCAAACTCGAATTTATTTTATATTTTTGATTCAAAATCCATTTTAATTAGCTTCATTTTAGTGTTTCCTTATTCTCTGACGTGTACTCCATCACCTTTTAACCTTAGAGTGTTTAAAATTCATCATGAAAATTCATAATAAAAAAAAAAGGTGAGAAATCTGGATCATTATATATTAGACGAATACAGGAAAGAGATTGTCGTTCATCATAAATCACGCACAATTTATTTGGCCTTAAATTTAATCCACTCGATTCTTCTGCTTGTGATTCTATTGGGAAGAAGAGAGGTCGTCATATGTCGTGGGTGGAGTAACAATCCTCTTGGCCCTGTTCTGTCTACACATCTCGAATGATGTATGGGTCCTTGGCCCTCTTTCGGCTCTGCACCTTATTCGGCTTGGCATGGTGTAGAATCTTTATAACACCTTAAGGAATGTTCACACAGGTAGAATATCTAACAATCTTCTTTAAAAAAATAATAAAATAAAAGATAATAGCAATAAAATAATTTTCTTAAATATAAAATAATAGAAATAAAAAAAGAAAATGTTTTATTCTTTAAGATTAAAATTATTAAATTTCTTCCAGAGATTTAAGTAATAATAAATTAACGATAATTGGAAGAAAGACCTTAAGAGGAGCACCAAGATTAAAAAATTTGTAAGAATAATTTGTAAACATTAGTTTAAATTGATTAAATTAANTCTTCAATCATTCCCATTTATAATTTATTTTTTCTTCTTTCAAATCTTTTTCTTCTTTTTAAACTGAAAATATTCTTATTTCAGGATGTTACGTAATAATTTAATAACGAGCATAACTAATGACAGTTTTTCTGATCTTCCTTCTATCAAAATGTTGTGAGTTTTCTTCAATTAAAACCCATAACAAACTATTTTACAACTAATACAGTAAAATTCAAACAGGCAAATGGATAATAATGAAATTACATGCGTCGATGATGCTGCTTTAAGAGGTTTGAAGGATATGGAAATTTTGTAAGTATCTAGTTACTTATTTCCATCTTTTCTGAATTAAATTTTAAAAAAGAAATATGTAAATTCCATTTTGTAAAAAATAAAAAGTCGAATCGTGACAGAAATTTTAAATCGTTTCAGAACTTTGAATAAAAATAACTTAACAACTCTTGGAAGAGATTTATTTGAAAATATGAAGAAATTACGAGTTTTGTAAGTATTTTTTTTTCCTTAAAAATGTCGGGTTATAAAGTAATTTCGATCAATATCGAGAAGCTCATAATTGAAGTGTTCGTGTTATAAATTAAGTTAAATCAATATCGAGAAGCTCATAAAGAAATGAGTATTTATCTTAACAGCTTCAGCTGTGAATTTGATTACAGTTCGTTTAAAGTAGGAGCATTAAAAATATATTTTTGTTCCAAAAATAAATAAAGTGTGTGTTGTTATAAATCTTCATTAATGGTGGACTCTCACGTTTTGAGAAAGTTGCGCAAGAGGGGGTTTATTAATATCAAGCAATGAACCCATTTACTAGACACTCCCTACTACATAAAGGGTGTGCAGTAAAATATCATTGTGTGTGCCATGTCCAAAACGCCCTAGTAAAACATCAAATTTTAATCGTGACGTTAATAAAATACTTTTAGAATATGGATATATATATATATAAAATAAAATAAAAAAATACCATAATTAAATGGAAGTAAGTATTTAAGTAACTGTTACTGAACAACTAAAGTCAGTAGCTCCATTATGATTAAGATAAAGTAACAGTTGACATGAATAACATCATTAACGTATTATTTATCTCACAATAAGATGAAGGGTCAATGTCTCTTCGAAGCAACTTCGTGACACGATACGAATGATAGATGCATACCCTTAATGTTGTAATAATGTTTATTAACTACATAATCAATTGTTTTCGTTCATTGTCTAAACATTCCATGTTCCTTAGAGTTTAAGTGATGAAATTATATACTCACGAGCTTTTGTAACTTCGAATGTTCCCATTTTCATATCAGTTTTTGTAGAAGATAACAGAAGAAAAACAAATGATTTTTATAGATAATTCTCGGAATTGGTCCCTTGGTTACTTGGTAGAATGCTTTTCTATTGTTCACGGAACAATTGTTCGAAAATGTTGTAGTAACAGTTCTCGGTATTGATATAAAAATATAACTTGATGTCGTGATAATAAAATAAAATGTTTTGTTGTTAGTTTTTTTCTTCTTTAATATTTTTTTTTCTTGTTTTTATTGTTTAGGAGATTATCGGATAATCCACTTACTTGTGATTGCCGTCTTGCGTGGTTAGCAGGATGGTTAAGGAGGAATCCTCGTTTAGGGCTCTTTTCTAAATGTATGATGCCTTTTTACTTAAGGAGTAAAGCTGTAGCGGAATTACACGAAGTCGATTTTGTGTGTAATGGTAAGAAATTTTGACACTGAAAGATGAAATAAAGTAATAAACTATTCGTGAATATATCGTGGATATATGGACTGTAATGTAATTAGTTGAGTTAATCGTGGTTCTAGATAATTATAATATATTCCCTAGTGTGTCGTGGTTATAGTATTGTAAGCAACAATTTCATTCATGAGACTGTTGTAACTGAAACTAAATCCATTTATGGACTTACTGTAGTTATCAGGTCATAAAGTAAGTCAGTAATCTAGTTATGAGTCTATTGTGGTTATAAATCTGTAATGTGATAATCTATTCGTCAGACTATTTTCACTGTGGGTCTACAATATAATAAACATTTTTTACGGAACGATCCTTTATTAATCAGTTTTATCAAACAAATAATTTTAATTATTTTTTCCCGACGTAATTAAGGAGTGGAGGAAGCACCAGCAGGATGTAATCGAGAACCATTATGCCCTCATCCCTGTAAATGTTACGACGGTGTCGTCGACTGTAGAGATAAAGGACTGCTTCGAATACCCGATCACATACCCGATTCTGCTACAGAATTGTGAGTATCGTGTTATTCAATATCACACGTGCAACGTAAGATACATTGGATTAGGTCATACAGTATATATCTCTGAAAGACTGCACTTGTTCTGGAGTGATAACATTACAGATAAATCTTGAATAGATCCTCGAATGACAAGGCTTGAAATACATACCGTGTAGGAAGTACTGACACAATGAGTAAAGTTGTAATTACCTGTTATCTCTTGGATGTTGTAGCTGGACAGGTGAGGTTAGAAAATGTTGCTTTGACGACGTGATGTGAAAATCAACTTATATATTTAATAGAAGATTCTAAACGATTGTTAAAATTACAACCATCTGGATACATCATAAAATATTATTTAAAAAATTACAAAAAAAAAATATTTATTTTATACACTGTTCTATATTAACCCATTAAACTTCTAATATAGTTTTTTTATTTGTTTTATAAACATTTCAAGCTTGAAACTCGATAACAGATATATATTTTGAACTGTTACTTAGTCTCAACTTGTTATAAATCTTGTGAATAGGAATTTGTTCAAACTAACTGTAATAGAGACTATAAATAGAAAAATCCTTCTTAATTATAATTTAATCTTGTGTTTTGTGTTAGTTCTCCACTAAAATATATAAAAATAAATCTTTACAGGAGATTGGAACAAAATAAAATTAGTGAAGTCACATCAAAAGCATTCTCTTCATACAAACAATTGAAAAGAATGTAAGTATATATACAATGTATTCTAAATATAATCAACTAATTAGTTAGTTGATAAGTGCCAGCTGTACTTTACCGGATATTAGAAAGAAGTAATTTGAAAAAAGTTGACAGTTAATGTCAACATATTTTGTTACAGAGTTGAAAATTCGTATAATTCTTCTTCTATTTTCAGTGATCTTAGTAACAATGCTATTACAAAAATATCCGGTGATGCTTTTAGTGGTTTGAAGTCGATAACATCTCTGTAAGCTTTTGAGAATTTTTAAAGTATTTTCTTTTTTAAAAAAAATCTTCTAAAATAATAAATATTTTTAGTGTTTTATATGGAAATAAAATCACTGATCTGCCTCAAGGAATTTTCAAAGGATTGACTTCTTTACAGCTTCTGTAAGTATTTTATTTGTTTATTTAACCCTTTGCCTGTCGACGCCTGAGGAAATTGCTATTTTTTATTTTTTTGACATAAAAAATAAGGTCAGATTTTATGTTGAAATATTATTTATTTGGCATATTTTCTTAATTTTATTTCTTTATTATCTTTTCACAGGTTATTAAATGCTAATAAAATTTCCTGTATCAGAAAAGATACTTTTGCTGATTTGCATAATCTTAATCTTCTGTAAGTAAAAGCATTATTATCAAATTGTCGGGATAAATTTAATTAAAAATTTTTTAATATAATCTCTTTTTTTTTAATTATTTTTTTTGCAGTTCTTTGTACGATAATAATATTCAGTCATTAGCAAATGGAACATTCGATTCTCTTCATAATATTCAAACATTGTAAGTTGATTATTTAAATTTCTGCTTTAGTATCTGCAAAAATTAATATTTTAAATGCATTATTGAAAATTAATAGGTGATTTATTACTATTTTTTTTACATGCAGGTTCTAGATGTAAGTTTGTATTTTATAGAAAAAATGATGCGATATTTTCCTAAAGGTTAGAAAAAAAAAATGCTAGATATGTTGGATTAGATTAAAATAGAAATGTTAATATTTAAATGACTGAAAACACGGTATAAATGTTAGTATTTAGGAAAATATCGAGAAAAAATGCCTTCAGCTCTCTTTCTAATGATTTTTTTTCAAAAAAATTCAATAAAAATTTAACTTTTTTAAGCATTAAAAAACAAGATAAAGTGATATTAAGAAAAGAATAAATAAATAAAAAAAATTACAAAGTTATCTATTTGTTTATGTACTGACAAGACACGTGCCGTATGTCAAATGACTCATCCTAATTCCTTCTCGTACGATTTATTTGGACTTTATTCGTAATTTGACGATGAACATAGTCCAGTGCCCCCTTTTTTTTTTTAAAAAAAAACTTTTTTACACGTAAAGAAAAATCTGCCACAAATCATTAAACTTTACGCGGGAATAACCCACATATTTATCGTAACAGATATAGGCAATGACAGAATGCTGGACTTACAGGTGGCGCTTCTGTGTCAATGAGGGGGGGGACATTAAACCAGTTTGGCTAGTCGACAGCCCCCGTCTGCTTGGCCTCTAGTGGGTGTCTGTCTGTGTGTTTGTTTGTCTGCGCGTGTAGATAATCAATGTTATAAAATCTTAAGTTATAAGCTCGATAATCAATAACGATGCAATGTCACGCGTTGAAAATCTTTTCGATAAATCAAATATTCAAAATAACGTTATTGTTGCGAGGCTGCAAGTATGCGAAAGTAGGGAAGTCGTTATAATGACGATAATTGTAAGAGAGGGACTGAGATTCTTGTTCCAGCCCAGCAATTAGGACTATTCGTCAGATAGTGAAGCAGTTAGGAGACACCCAGGGACTAGATACTGTTGCCCTTCTGATTGTGTCAAGTGACGCTAATGACATGAAGGAACGAGAAAATGCTTTGGGCAAAGGGGGGGGCAAACCATCGAGTAGGATATAAATTTATTATGCTATAAGTTTGGCTTATTAGTTTTTCCAGGAAGCATAAAGCACGATATTTGTCGTAAAAATCGTTTTTAATTTAAAAATTAAGAATTTTAATCAATTTGAAGTTAATAAAAGTCATTTAAAATTCTATTAAAACTTATTTATAAAAGACACACCAATGAATAAATTTATTAAGTTATGATTTTAAAATAATCCCGAGATTAAAATGTTCAGAAATTAATATAATTAAAAAAAAATTTTTCTAAAGAGTAATTTAGAAAATGATGTCAATTTACTATCCGATTTAATTTTAATATTTAATTAGGCTCTTTTTATGTATCACTAGATTTACTTTTCTTAATTAAACTCGACGATTATAATTATTGATATGAATTTTTAAAAATAAAAAGAAAATAATAGAAGTAATCTGTTAAATGGAAGGTTTAATTGAATACAAAATGAGATTAATGCAGGAAATAGAAAAGGTAGATGTTTACTACTCGTTGCTTTACTTTATTTCTTCAAACATAATGGTTACCCAGTTGAAATAAATGCTTTTATTTCCTGTTGTAAGAGTTCGTCTATCTTCATCCATTGGCCATTCGCTGCCAACAGACAAGAACCGGGAATTGAGGAAGTGCATTGAAGACCAAACTTCCCTCTCTCATATCTCCCTAGAGTTCACTATCTACACTATCTTATTACTCTACCATTGAATACATCCCAATATTTAATTCGACTCTACTTAAATTAAATAATAGATTTTTTTAAGGCTCGTTTCTTTTGCTATAACGTAAAATTTTTCGTTAGTTATTTATATTTTAAGTGTATAATTTAATGCCATATTGATAAGTAGCTAATATATTACTTTGTGATTTAGGCATCTCGCTCGAAATCCTTTCATCTGCGATTGCAATCTTCGATGGTTGGCTGAATATCTCCATATTAATCCTATCGAGACGAGTGGAGCACGTTGCGAAGCTCCCAAGAGGATGCACAGGAAGCGTATCAACCAAATGAAGGACACCAAATTTAAATGTAAAGGTCGTGCCTCTATTTGTGTGTGAATGTTGCTAACTTCAATTGGTAATTTAATTTAAAATCAGATATTTTCCCTTAAGAGCGGGGTATTTTTTTCCTTTTTTTTTCTCTCCCCTCGTATGGTCCCACGCTTACGTTGCAGAACCGCAGTATGACGTCCATATTTCAAAGACCACCTTCTAATTTTGTTTCCCAAAGCCCCCCTGCTTAGAAGTGCAACAAGCTAATAAAGTAAAACTTGATCGAGAGGCTACCGTTCTCCCATTAATTTTTATATACTTTCTTCTTTCAAATTGACTTCTAGCCTATATATTTTATAAGAATATATTAAAGGATATTTAAGAGAATTATTTAGAATATTAATNACTGTATATAATCGTTTTGAGGCAGAAACACCTGTTAAAATAATATGCAACTAGTCGAAAAAACGCAAAAAAAAGTTAAAAATTCATTACATTTAACTATTCTTTAACATTTTAAGTTATTCTAATGAAAACATAACCCTCAAATTTCAAAAAATTCAGATCATTTGGGATGCAAAGTAATTTATTTGACTTCGTTTAAAATTCGTATCCGCTCTTTGTGTGAAAAATTATATTTATTTACATAAGCTTAGCGATTTCGAAATAAATTTTAAAGCTTAAATTTAGAATATTTTCTTGTTTTTATAATGAAAAAAAATGTAAATTTAACCTGAATTTTTTGTTCTTCCTTTTACAAGTAATTTATTAGCCAATCCATTAAAGTGTAACTGTCACTTGAGGTGGCTTTCGGATTGGTTAAAAAAGAAGAATGTAGTGACAGGTAACCCCAGATGTCAAGCACCAACTTCGTTGAAAGACATTCCAATACAAGATGTGGAAATGAAAGATTTTAAATGCACCGGTGAGTTAATAAACAATAAAATTTTTCATGAAAAATTCATAAAAATTCAAAAACGGAAAAGTTTTTTTACGGACTTTTGCATGAATTATTATGGGCGACGTCCTTGTTGCAAATGTTCTTAATGATGCTTTTTTCGCATATAAACATGAATTTCAATTCGCAAAAATGATAAATTTCTATAATTTATTACTAAAATTAATGTATGTACACATTTGCCTACTCTTTTATAAAGTAAACTATCATTTTTTTCATTCATTATATGATTTTTTTTTCCTACTTATATTGTCATTTTCGTTGTGGGTGAGTCCAGCATCTTATTGTGGACACACCTGCTCTATCCAACTTTTTGCAGTAACGTGACTTACTTTTAATGATGTGTTTGTAAGGATGTTTAGTTTAGAACCGGTAATTATTTTCTTTTTTCTGTTGTCATAGATTACGAACGTGTAAATGGGTGTGGTTATGAAAAATCATGTCCCATGGGATGCACATGCACAGCTACTGTAGTGCACTGCAGCCGTCAAAAATTGAAAGCTGTGCCTCCAATTATTCCCATGTCGACAACAGAATTGTAAGTTTTTATACACATTATCAATTTAATTAAATTTGTTCGGTGAGATTTCCATAATTAAAAAAAAAATTTTCTTTAAAAGATATTTAGATGTAAATGACATCCCTGTCATTCCTACTACATTAAATGCAGCTATAAATATCCAACGATTGTGAGTTTTTCTTTTTATATTAGCATATAATGTGGATTTAATTAACAAAAATTGTAACTTAAATCTTCATTTTTTAAAGGGATATGAGCAACAATCAAGTTTCTATTATTCCAAATACACTTGAAAAATATCTATATTTACTATATAAGCAATAGTAATATTATATGGATCATATAATTTTTTATTTAAAAAAATTAGTAAGGTAAATTAATAAATTTTACAAAATTTAAAATATAGGCGGTGAAGATTATCGAACGAAATTAGCGGGTCAATGTATTTTGGATACAGAATGCCCAGACAATTGTTACTGCGAAGGGACTATAGTGGATTGCTCAAAAAAACATTTGAAGGACATCCCTACAAAAATCCCTATGTTTACTACTGAACTGTAAGTACATTCCTTTTTTTATATATATATTAAACAACTTAACTTAATATAAATGAGTTATAATTCACTCTATTTATAGCCGTTTGAATGATAACATGATTTCTAAAGTTAAGAATTCGGGCTTATTTAAGCACTTGACACATCTCAAGAGACTGTGAGTAATATAAACAAACTTATCAACATATATTTTTTATTTTTGCATTCATTTATTTTTCACAAATTTATTATTAAACTTATTAAAAAATCGTCCATACGTTGGTGTTTATCATTCTTTTGAGATTNTAATTATTTTTTAAATAATAATAAAAAATTCCTTTCAGATCATTGCAAGGAAATGATATATCCATGATACCAGATGGTACATTTCGTGAATTAGTGTCCATTACTCACATGTAAGTAATGCCTGACATTTTTTTACTTGAATCATCATTAATTATACATGTTTATGTATGTAAAATACAAAAAAATTTCAGTGCCTTGGGTGCTAATCCTCTGTATTGTGATTGTAACCTTCGATGGTTGTCAGAATGGATTAAAGAAGATTATATCGAACCGGGAATAGCCAGATGTGCAGAACCACGCTCCATGAAAGACAAACTGGTGCTTACAGCCTCTACAAATAATTTTATCTGTACAGGTACAAATAATTTTATAGAAAAGTTGTCTATAGACCTCTCTTCAAGCGCTCAAAGTAAATATCATCCTGTTTGAAACTTTGCTTCTAAGTGAAGATATATTAACAATTTTTCTTTAAGTTTTTTAAATGAAGAAGTTAGCAATATATTTTTTTTTATTTCGAAAACAATCTTATTCACTTCATAAATTCTTTATGAAATGAGATAAAAAAATAAAATAAAATGCGAGCTTGTGTTCCAACAACATCCTCCTCTGTTGATGTTCGTCAATAATGCTTACAACTCCTTAAAATGATAGTTGCTAATTCATTTCTATGTCTTAAAGTGACGTCGAGTGGATGAACATTGGCGTCTTATCCTCTTCTGTTTGTCTGTTTCCTCGTATTTGTACAATGTGCTTGTTCTTCGAGTACACTAAACCACATTATTTTACTTGACTCCTTTCGATTTTTATAACTTCACGGCTTCAGTTTTTTTTTCTATTCTTATCAGCAAAATTGTTTTATTAACAATAAATCATATCTTATTTTTTGTATGGCTTCCATCAAATATCATCAATTCAGATGATTTTGATGGCGTAAGGATTAAAAGGCAAAAAAAAAAAAAAAAATATTGAAAGTAGTTTTTGAGGCAAACTGGATTGTTTCGTTATTTTCCATTTGCTACAAATGAATTTTTCATGTGATTTTTGGAAATTTTTTTTTCTTTTTATTGCAAATTCTGCTTGTTATTTAAAATTATGGATCTGTTCCAAAAATTATTCGATAACATTTTATTTCTTCTCTCTTCACTTTATCATTTTATTTTATTATTTTTTGTATTTTACAAAAAAAGAACTGATTTTTTTAATGAAATAAAACTTAAACATTAAATTGAGTTAATATAACAATAACAATAATGTTTTTAAAGAACCACCGGAAGCGGATGTACTAGCGAAGTGCGATGCCTGTTATACATTTCCTTGTCAACATGGCTCCACTTGTCTGTCTCTTCCATTAAGAAATTATAAGTGCGAATGTTCTCCCGGTTATCACGGTCAACATTGCGAATATCTGATCGACGCCTGTTATGGAAATCCATGCGAAAATTCCGGAACTTGCAAAGTGCTGGAAGCGGGACGTTTCAGGTTGGTAATTAACAAGTTGTTGATGTTAAGTGATGACGAGCGCTTAAACAAAAAAGGGAAACTAATTTCAGCTGTCATTGCCCCGCTGGGTTTGAAGGAGACAGATGCGAAACTAATATCGACGATTGTATTGCTAACAAGTGTGAAAATAATGCCACTTGTGTCGATTTGATCGAAGGTTATGAATGTTTATGTGCACCTGGTTACACAGGTAATTTTTAACATGTTACTGAATCTCTTTTATCATCATTTGAATAGCTAAACTTCAACATTTTTCACTATCTTACTGTATCTATTTACATATTATTAATTTTGTTTTTAACCGTTAGAAATGTATGATTATGAGTAGTTGTAGGTTTTAATGATATACAATCCAACATTTTTAGGCAATTATTGTGAGAAAAAGATCAATTTCTGTTCAAAAGAATTTTCGCCGTGTAAAAATGGTGCCACTTGTGTCAATTACGAAACTCATTACAGGTAAGTGCCAATTTTTTGATAATTTTTGTAATATTTGTGTAAAAATATTCTCATTTTTATTGTTAAAGTAACAGTTGTAATAGATTTTAATGTTCTGTGCTCTTGTTTTTGCTTTAGTTGTTCTTGTCCTGTTGGATTCCTTGGTGAAAATTGTACTGTGAATATAGATGACTGTGTAGAAAACATGTGCCAAAATGGTGCAACATGTGTGGATAGTGTAAATAGCTACAAATGTTTGTGCCCAGATGGTTACGCTGGTACTTATTGCGAGCTTACTCCAATGGTGAGCATGTTGTATCCCCAGACTAGTCCATGCCAGCAGCATGATTGCAAACATGGTGTTTGCTTTCAACCGAGTGGTTCCTCTGATTACATTTGCAAATGTTCACCCGGTTTCACAGGTAAACGTTGCGAATCACTCTCGAGTGTCAGTTTTCGTGAAGACTCTTATTTAATATTTGATCCTCTCTACACGAAACCTGAAGTTAATTTAACTATAACTTTTGCAACAAAGCAGAACTATGGTGTGATGGTTTATAATGGTGAATCGCAGCATTTAGCTGTTGAATTGTTTCGTGGAAGGATAAGAATTAGTTACGATGTCGGTAATTATCCTGTTTCCACTATGTTCAGTTACGAAACTGTTTCTGATGGCGAATATCACACTGTTGAGTTGTTAGCAAGGAAGAAAAATTTTACTATGAGAGTTGATAAAGGCATGTCTAGGACGATAGTTAATGAAGGTGCGAGGGAATATTTAGAGGTGTCCACATCTCTATATATAGGGGGATTAGAGGAAGATGTTGCTATTAAAGCTTTGAGACAATGGCATCTTCGAAATGTTTCCAGTTTTGAAGGTAAGTTGTATTTCCCTATATCGGTCTCATGATTAATCATTTAAAAATAAATTATTGTTCAACAGGTTGCATGAAGGAATTATACCTGAATGGAAAGCCTCTTGATATCGTAGTTGCTAGAAAACAGCAAAGAGTAACCCCTGGTTGCCCTGAATACGATGATCCAAAACCGTGCGAAGATCATAAATGTAAAAAAGGAAAATGTATCCCATTGGATAGAGACAGTTACGAGTGCGAATGTCGGAAGGGTTGGAGCGGTACATATTGCGATCAAGGTAAATTATTATAATAAACTCCATAAATTCTACAAGCAGTAATTAACGAGATTTCATTGATGATACTTTCAGCTCCAACGTGTCAGAAGGAACAATATAGAGAATACTTTGAAGAAAACGGTTGCAGATCAAACAAGATGATCAAAATGGCGCATTGTTCTGGTACGTGTGGTGATCAATGTTGTAAACCTCAAAGAATAAAGCGCAGAAGTCTGCGTATGGTGTGTCCGAATGGCAGTCGTTACGCGACACAAGTTGATGTGATTCGAAAATGCAAATGTGTTCAAAAGTGTTGAAGTGTTGCCTACTTCAAAACAAAAAATTAAAAAAAAAAACTTTATTTAAGTGGTTATTACTGGCAATTTTAGTTGTTGAACTGCTTTGTTCGTATTTTCGTTGCTGTGCACCATTTAAGAAAATGTGTATACAGTAATTTCTCATATCGGAAACGAACTGTTTTCTTTATTTTATGTGGCCAAAGTAAATAAATAAATACACTTCGAAGGCCCTTTTGAAGAAAACAAAAACTAACCATATTTTGTGTGCTCTGTTTATAAAAGAGCAACAATTGTGCACCATTTGTCTCAGGTAAAATAGAGCATTTTTTAATTTTTCAGTCTTTTTTTTTTTAATTGTTCTTTAGAAAATAGAAATCCCTGTTGATAGATATTAGAGAAAAAATATATTTCCTCGTATATATTTCCACATTCCTGTCAGGTATTAGTCCTGTCGAGTAGAATTAGTGAAACTATTAAAATAATAATTGAAAAAAAAAATTCCACTGTCCATGAATTTTAAACCCGATTTTTAAATTTAATTTCCAGAGAATTTGGCCATGTTTGATTTTAACTGAACAAGTACAAAAATAGTACAAAGATAGATAAATATAAATCTTGGACCAAAATGATTTTGGTACCATACACACAACATATACACATCGATGTTCTTTTTGTAAGTCGTGTTTTGGTCCAAGATTTAAAAAGGGGAAAAAATTTTGTTTCTGTTCGAAATAAAATAAAATAAAATAAATTTTTGTGCAAGTTTATATATGTAAAATATAAACAGAAATATATATATAAACTCTCAAAATATATATATAGTTGTGTAACATTGTAAAATAATTTGTTAAATAGCCGTAAAATGATTTTTTTGTTTGCGTTATAGGATNAATATATATTAGTATATTTTAAACAATATAATTTATGTACATAAACAGCTTTCGAAAATAAATTCTTAGAAGTATTTAAAATCTAAAATGCGTGTGAAAAATGTGCAGAAATCGGTAATTAACAGTACAGAGTAGGAGTTGCAACGTACAAAATGGTGTTTTTGTGCGTTGCACTTATACAGATGTGTGGCAGATGGTCCAATTTCGCATACTTCCTAACAAGATAATGAAGAAAAGTAAATTACATTCATTGAAGCTCGTGTTTCTATCGTAATTTTAATAAAATTACAATAAAATTTTGCATTCGAGCGATTTGAATCGAACAGAAATATATTTCAATTGATGGCATCTGTTGAAATCTTTATTGGATTATTTATTCTTTATGTAAACTTTATTTAAGATCTATTTTTGTAGTAAAAAAATATTTAGAAAAATTTTAACTTTAAAAATTAAAGTTTTAAAATATTTTCTGGAATTGTTTATTTTGAAACAAGATATGAGCATTATAATCAATTCACCTTTAAACTTAATCAATATTAATAGGAGTTAACCTTATTTTCAAAGGATGTGACAAAAATATTCAATTAGTGACATGCAATTTATTTTGTAAATTGTAGGGGAAAAAACATCTTAAAAAAATTTATATTTTCATTAAAACTGTTAAAAATTCAGAATATGAAATTAATATAATATTAAGACTTTTCTTCTACATTATAATAGTGAAATTGTGGATTATTTGATTAAATATTTAAATTTTGAGTGCCAGTCTGAATATAAAAAACCCTGTAGCTTATCTGTTATTAATGAAAATAAAAATACAAATAATTTCTTAAAAATTTATCAAAAAATTCAAAAACATATTTGGTTTTCTTTGAGCATAATAATAATAATAATAAACATGTACAGTACACGACACAAGAAAGCCACGCTATTGAATACATGTTACATTGTTAGGAAGTTTCTAGACACATGCACCAATAACACAAAAGCTTAATGTTTCACTTGTTTGGGTAACTATTCTTTGACTTTAGTCCGGCATAGCACTTGGCATCAGCGTGACATTTGCAGCATAAAAAAAAGTAATAATAATAGTAATACCAGTAAGTCTTTCATTCTAATAAAATATTACTTATTAGAAAGTGCATATAAACTATAACTATAAAAAAATTTTAATTTTCAACTATTATTTTATTTTTAAATAAAAAAAAATATTATTTTAATTCATTATTTTATGCGCAAATACATTAAATAAATTTATTTATAAGTCCAAATTAAACTACATTAACCGTTATAATTCTATCATCGCTAGAGACTAACAAAATTATTGATTCTTCGGCGATAAATCTTCATTATAACTAAGAGAAGTTTATGAATACTGTATATTTAAGAGCTGTATAAATTAAACGTGATAAATTGTAATTGTGTATTCTGTATTAGAATTTATATTTAATTTAAATATTCGATATACAAACTCGTAATGTCTTCGATTTTCTAAAAGGATCGAGTCATTAAAGATTTATTTTTATTTATATTTTTTACAAATTTTTTCAAAATATTTTAGAATTTGTTGTTTTGTTTTTGTTTTATATTGTCGAATTATTTTGATGTTCGATGTGTAATTTTTGTACGGAAAAAAAACAAAAAAATTGTGTGCGAAAACCATTTTGAATTTTTGTATAATGTATGATATATGATGATCACTGAATATAAAAAAAAAAGAAGAAAATATCAATTCTGTGTGCGTTATCAATTTTTTTTAGATTTTTTTAGAATGAACCTTTCTAAAAAAACACGTAACAACAATTTACACCAGAGGAAATACACGGAACATTATCGTAAAGTTGAGATAATATTTATGAATTCCCTGTAAGAGGACCCCCGCGAGTAGGAGGAACCAAAGTAGAAAATAATGTTTTTCTGCCTGACATCTATTGAATTTAAACGCGATTCTTTGCCTTCATGTTTTCATAACGATAAAGTAACTAATAAATAAATTTACGCTATTTAACTTTCTTCTAATGGACTGCTTTTTTTTTTCTTTTTTTTGGTTGAATTTTCTGATATTTCCTTCTACTATCTTGCTGTCGGCAGCTAATTTTTTAAAAGTCTTTTACAACAAATAATTTATTTTAAAAATAATAATAATAAATTATTATAATATATATATGTGAATAAACAATAAATAAAAGCGAAAAATTGTAAAAAAAAAAGAAATAACGAAGTAAACACTTTTATATTCTACTTCCCAAAGTGTAGACCGCGTATTACTGAACGATACGCGAAATAATTCAAATTAGCAGAAAATAATTTATTTAAATTTATTATTTAGAATGATAATTTTAAATTTAATTGATTATTAATTTTTAAAATTTTTCTGAAGAAAAACAATTTTAATATTAAAACAGTATAGTATTGTCAAATTGTAAATTACTGTATAGAAAACTTCAGTGCTGTCATCTAGCGGCAATTTTTGCATTTAAAAGTTTGTAAATTATAAAAATAATTAACTTGTTATATTTTATAAATAACAAAATATATAGATAATAATATATTGAGTAACTATATAAGCATATTTTCGATATAAAATATATATTAGTATATTTNAATATATATATATAATGATTATATTCAGGACAATCTTCGACACTTTCAATTGTAGTTTATTGCTAGAGTGTTGCTTTATCAATTTCTTCATGAACATTTTTAATATGAATATGAACATTTGTACAAGACATTCATGAGACAGACCTTAGAGATGCAGTGGATCCTGCTCAATGTGGTCCTCATCCTAAAGGTATAAAACTTGAAGCCGAATGTTCAAACGTTATTTGATCCTCAGTAATTATTCTCACACGCAAGTCTGTCAAGGCTGTCAAATTTGCAATATGTCCTCGATAAAATACACTTCATAAATGTCCACACAACCAAAAATCTCAGTTTAAAATTCTGCGTATTTCATTTAAAAAAAAAAAAAATGGCAAAAGGGGCCCCATACTCCTGGCTTTACTCCTGGATCCCATGCAAACTCTCGACGACCCTAGGGACCTATTCTGAGTTGTATCGTTAAGCTAACGAATGCGACAAAAACCAGTTTCTATCAGAACCACGTGATTAACGTTTAGTCAACTATGGCGATAAGTATACTGTACTTTTCTTATCGGTCACTCTAGAGCTGCCGTTAGGAACGTAATTACGTAAAGAAAGTAAAAAGAATATGGCAGCTTTAAATGTAAGACATATTACTTTGCGAGCAATTAGAAAGAAAGAATATTAACATTGTACATCACAAATCTCAGCTTCTGCTTCAAGATAATGTTTTCAGTTAGATTATACCAATTTTAAAGGACTCTGTCGTCTTCCGAAGCCATTACTGTTGTATTTATGTAATGAATTACGAGATAAGCTAGAGCTGAAGTGTTATAAGAAAAATGCTCTATCCATAGAAATAAAAGTAACTTTTATAATGTCAATTAAATATTTATGAATAACTGATTTATTGTTAAAATTTAAATGAAAAATAAATAGCTACATTGTAGCCATGAAGGTCCGCAGAAAATTTTCCTGGGGGCAAAGCTTGAAAATTATATCAATAAATTTTAATTTAATTTTTGAAGTTTTTTTCACGAGTAGATTATAAAATACAATATTGTATCAATACAAAAAGATGCTTTGTCTGAGACAGGCAAAATATCCCATAAAGTCGAGGATATAATGTTACACATCTCAATCACTTTTACGATTACAATTTATAGAATTTTTCACTGGATCCAAGGGTCCGTCCATAAATTACGTAAGGTATTTTGGGGTGGGTGGGGTCAAGGATTTCTTACGATTTCTTACTCAGGGGTAGGGGGTAATAGATCTCGTCGTACGTAATATTCTTATGTTTATTTTTTGATCTCTTTGAATGGTGGAGTTTTGAATTAGGCTTCAATTTGGCGGTTTATATTAAGAACGCTGGTTGTCTCGTGTGACGTGTTAGAGTAATAACGCTAGCAGATTCACGCTCCACACATTTTTTGTCAAGGGAGAAAGGCCGTGTGGAGCGTTGCCAGATTTGGCTACTTTGCGCCAAATTGGGCTACTTATTTTCCAGTTTGGCGTTAAAAAAGCATTTGGCGCACTGGCTACTTTTTGGGCTACAAAAATTTGACTTGGCTACATTTTGGGCTGGTTACACAAATTATTTCATCCTTTGTTTTGCGCACAGAACGGTAATACTTGTTGCGCTGTCTACTCGTTTTGTTTTTAAACAAAGTATAATTTATATAAGTTTTATAATTTATTTATTATTGGTATTAAAATGGGAAAATGGACAAAGTATTCACGGTCCTTTCGGAAAGAATGGCTTCAAGATAAAAATCTTAAAGGTAAGCACCTTTAAGATTTTTTTCTTGAAGCCATTCTTTCCGAAAGGACCGAGAATACTTTGGGGAAATTTTCCTCATTAAGTTGCATTTTTAAATATTTTGGCAAATGGCGTAATTTTAAATTTACTTAATTAAATTTAAACTTTTTAAAAAGATAGCTCCAGTAAGTATTCAGTCATGCTTGACAGGAGACTTTTTAGTTTATAATAGCTTATTTTTTAAAGAAAATTTAATATAAATTCCAGATAAATGATATCCTAGAAAGAAAGAAATAAGAAAAGAAAATGCATCTATAAACAAAAATGACTAATGGTAAATGCTATGCTATACGGAATGGTACCAAACATGGTTACTAGGGCGTAATTTTTATAAATTTTAATTGTTTTTGATAAAATTAGTAACAAATAACGTTACGCTAATTGCAACTGTTTGCCAATGTCAGCTTCTTGTAAATGTCTTATATAGTGTTACATGTAACATACAAAATTCATATATTACAAGAATGCTATTATTCCTCAACAACAATCAAATGAGC